GCTGATTGTTTTAATCCAGTTATGGGCAGAGGCTGGGTTGCAGTGTTGGTAAGGTATATATGTAGTCTGTTTACCCCGTTGCTGAGTCATAGCCCTCTATATCTTTCAACAAGTCTGGTGTGTTTCCCAGCGCATCTCCTCATGGTAAGTCCTGAACTTTATTATTGGTCTCCTCAGCACAGTGAAAGCAATTTTTGTAGAACTTTCTTTATTGTGATAAAAATGAACATAAAACTTACCATTTACTCATTTTTTTCACAATACCTTTATTTACTTATTTTTTATGTGGTGCTGAGGATCAAATCCAGTGTCTCACAAGTGCTAGGCAAGCCTCTAGCACTGAGCTACAACCCCAGCCCCCATTTACTTTTTAAAAAGTATTTTTTTATCAAGGTTTCTTAGCCTCCTTTCCTGTATAACTTCAAAATCCGACAAACATTTTGAGGGGAAAATTGTGAATAAAGCTTCCTAGGTCTCTAGTTTTGTCACTCAAGCATGAATTGACCAGTTCTTTTGGGTCCTCAGTCTCCTAGTGGCCAACCTCAGTTCTCAGCGTCTGGTCCCCAAGGAAAAACAAAATTCAGCTCACCTCTTGGAAGCTTCTTCTCTCTCCCTAAACTTAGGACTGCAAGCCATTGTTGCTTGGCAGCTCTCTAGTGCATTTAAAGAGATGATTTTTGTAATTTATCTGTATTTGCTAGTTGTTCTTGATGGAATATTCATTCGCAACAACCGAATCTATCCTTTGGGACACCTAAATATCCTCTGACTTAAATTCAGAGGCTTTCCCTAGCTTACCTACCTTTTTATTTCAAGAATTATTGATTTAGGTTGTGAAAACACTTGCCTGGATCAGTGGAAATACATCTCCCTCAAATTCTAAGTCCATTTTCCACTTTTTTTCTGTCAAATATCTTATCAAGATACATGGATGGCCTAAATTTCATCTTTTATTTGTTCTGTCAATATTTGGAGAAATGTTGACAGTGAAAAAGGTCCAGATATATGAGTGAACAAATGGTTAGAAGGAAAATAAACAGTTTTAAGAAAAAGCAAATCTTTTAAGTGTATAATAGAAACACTTGAATGAAGAGAATAACATGTTGCGTAAATACATATTCACTAAGTAATTGCTATTAAATCCTTTACTATTGCTTTTCCCCCCCTTTAACTTCACTTTAGAGTTATAGATGAATTCATTCCTATTTTTTCAAGTTATGCAATTATAAGTGACATGCTGAACAAGGATCTCTCCTCATTTCCATTGGGGAATATAGTCCGTTGATTCTTACTTTGTAATGTATCTTGTAACCACTGATTGTAGTCTCATTTAGAAATTGTGTTATACTCATCTTTGTGTTATTAGCTGCTAGTTCTGGTATGAAACACATAATCATGAAGTGGCTATAGTTTCATTTCATGCATCCTAATTTTATTTCTTCTTTTCCATTCCATTGCCACCATCTTGGCTCTGGTGCTTTCTGTACTTGGAATACAATAGGTTACTAAATTTTTCTCTTGCATACCCATCCTCCTTGCTCCACCTGCCAAATACATTTTATATATCTCTCTGATGATTCTATCTAAACTAATTCATTATTACCTAGCTTAAAAATTTTTCTGTCAGAGGATGCTTGAAGCTTTTAATGATTGCTAGTTTTCCCTGTAGTTATAGAAATATTTAATTTGCTTCACACTAATAACTTGGGAACTTGTTAAAAATACAAAAACTTGGATTACACCTGGATCAAAATTCCCAAAGACTGAGAATCTTTACCTATCAAGCATCCAGGTAATTTTTACTATATTGAATATAGATTCTAACTCCAGCCCTTTGAGACCACGGCAGTCACCAAATTTTTGTTCTATTTATTTATTATAAATTGAGAGGCTAAGTTAAATTATCACTAAGGCTCCTTCTGACAGCATTGTAGCATTTCCGAACTTGGTTTAATTTCCTGATTTATATTGCCCCCCCCCCCCACTTCTCTAGGTTAACTTATCCAAATGCTGTTTGGGTTCTAATCATCCTTAAGATTTCATTGGCACTCAGCTTAAGCTTCTTTGACCTCTTAGGCATTTTTATATGTGACATCTGCTCTCCCACTGGGTAATAGGATCTCACCAGTCTCCCTGTATTCCTAAATGCCCAGCATAAGGTGGATATACAATGTTTATTGATTTTTATTTTCTGCTCAAGACCATGAACTCTTGCTTTTGCCATTTGCTTTATTCCAATAAAAGCTATGTTGAAAATCTTTTTAGCCCAATGAGCTTTCTTTATTGAACTGAAGATATCCAGCTCATATTCTATTTACCCTATAAATTTTCTTTTATGATTGCTCATCCTCTAGTTTCCCACTGATTATTTCTCCAAAAGTAGCTCTCTTCTGGCCTCTGCTGGTGTGAAAGCAGACAAATAATTCATGAATTCTTTGCTTGACTGTGGGGTGCAAATTCACTACCCAACCATTCTAACATCATCAAGTACAAGAGAAAGACTCTGAGATGTCTCTGAAACTGCTACATATGTTGAAAATAGACAAATTAATGGTAGAATTTGAGACGCAATTCAAATGTTTATTTTTGAATCAAAGTTTTCAAAATTAAATTCATGCTTATTATGTTAATGTGCAGAGACAATGGAGTAAGACCCTTAGAGTGTTTCATTAATGTTGGTAAATAAATGAGTTTGTGCTATTTGATTTAAGTAACACTTCTTTTTTTGGAACAAAATTGTGACTTAAAGACAATCTTCAATTTTGTCGTCTTTCAAAGTTATTATTTTAGAGCATCTGAGAATACCCTGCCTTCATCTTAAAATACACACCTCAGAAGCAGTTTACTTTGAGTTACTAATATACTGGGTGTAGTAGCAGCAGACTTTTCAGATGGACTGTGGGAAAATATTTCACTGCATGAAAGGTTTTTAGGATGTGTATGTGTTTCATTTAGCTTTTCTCTCAAGGTAACATATTATGTCTTCTACATACATTTGGATACCCGCGATGAACACCTTCAATGTATCTCCTTTGGCAACCTTAGATTTCAAATGATTTAATCTAAGTACCTGTTAATAAAAGGCAGGAAAGGTGTTAAGTGCTAAGATAGAGGTTCTGCATTTCCCCGAAGTTTAAATCAGAGCTTTTCAACATCAAAAAGCTTACAACCCGGGCTGGGGTTGTGGCTCAGAGGTAAGAGTGCTCTCCTCGCACGTGCAAGACCCTGGTTTTGATCCTCAGCACCACATAAAAATAAATAAGTGAAATAAAGGTATTGTGTCCAACTACAACTAAAAAATATTTTTTTTTAAAAAAAGTTTACAACCTGAAATTATATATAACTATATATCATCAGCAGAAATAGGTATTTGAATGAATATACAAATACTTTAAAATGTACAAAGCCTCTTTATATACACTATTTTTAAAAGAAAAGTTTGAGAGTGCACTATGTCATAAACTGCCACTTGTATTTAAATGTACCCTTCTGATTCAAGTGGTCTAAGAAATGTCTGTTTTGGACTGGGCGAATAGCTTGGTGATACAGTGCTTGCCTAACCCGTGTAAGAGCATTGGTTTTGGATCTCTGAAACTTAATTTAAAAAAAAAAAAAAAAAAAGAGCCTATTTCATTACTCCATTTAAGGGTAGAAGTGGTCAACAGCAGATAAAAAGAGAGAACTCAGTTGCAAACACACAGGGTGACTGAAGATAAAATGAAAAATACTAGTTACAAATGGGTTAGAGGTTTGAAGTTACAATCAGGTAGACAATCTATTCCTCTCCCTGCTTAGGCTGCCTTCTAAAAAGCAAAATCTACTGTAGGTATACAGTGGAAACCTATATTCTGTGGTGCCCTGTTCAAATCTAGGCATCTCTCCAACTCCTGGCATGGGCTCTATGCTATTGGGGATGTGAGCTCTGACTCTGGAAGTAGGCAATTAGGATCTAATTCTAACTTTCCAGTTATTAGAGGTAACCATGTGACAATTCTGGCCACTGAGATTTTTAGGAACCCTGAGAAGTAAAGACTGTCTATAAGGTTATTTAGGCTCAGTGAAGCATTCCATTCAGTGTCTCTTCTTATTTCTGCTTACATAAGACTGCCAACATATGGATTAAAGGAACATGCAAAACAGACTCTGGTTAAAAAAAAATCCCTTGAAGAGGTGACCCACATTTGATCAGTTACCTTAATGACTGAGTTACTACTACTGGAAGGCAGAAAGTTTCTAAATTGGTGTCTATTCTGAGGCCAAATGGAAAGTTCATAACATTAGTCAAACCAGAGAAATAAAATATATGAACCTGAACACATGGGCAGAGAAGAACTCAATAAAATCAGCTTGAAAAATGCACCAGAAACAAAACAAACTACGATTAAAAGAAAATTTGTGAAGGCTAGAATATTATGAGCGGATTAAAGGATCATGTTAATTTATAGTTTTCTGGTATCTGTGAAATACACTGAAAAGAATTTATTACAGAGTAATATGTCATTTCCATTCAAAAGAAGCTAAAGAGTTAAATGGGGGGCTGGGATTGTGGCTCAGTGCCAGAGCGCTTGCCTAGCGTGTGTGAGGCACTGGATTTGATTCTCAGCACTGTATGTATCAATACATAAAAAAATAAAGGTCCACTGACAACTAAAAAAAATTGAAAAAAAAAAAAAAAGAGTTAAGTGGGTTACTAAAATTTAGCCTTTTAAAAAAATGTCACTGGTATGAACTACCAAAGAGCAAATGATTAAGAGAATGAAAATCTGCAATGATTAACATGAAGTCATGCTGAATGAAAATAAAAGGATGGAGTAAAAAGAAAACATCTGTGAGGAACAAATCATGGACAACAATCATCATATTTTCAAAACCATAATTACCAAATAAAGTAAATAACAACTCTTAAGTTAGAGTGCAAAATGCACCTTATTATTTTAAAGGTGCAAAAGCAAGAAATATAAACACATCCACCTTTTAAATAGTTGTATGGTAAGGTAATGATATTTAGAAACATTTTTAATAGAAAAATGATTTATAAATCAATTTACAAAAGATCAAAAAATCAATGTTTAATACCAACTTAACTATAAATAACTAATAGGGGAAAAACTTTTCTCTATCCTTCTGTTTTCGCTTCAAAATCTATGTCTTCTGCTCCTTGCCTTTTGGAGAAAACATTGCGTTGTAAGGCTGCCGTCTTTTTGGACGAGGACAAAGATCAAGATCTTCCTTAATGTAACCTTAAAAACAAATTATAAATTTAGAAGAGTATATTTGCAACATAAATTTATTTCTGTACACACCCAGTAACTATTTGTCTTTATATAATGCCTTTTAAGTTTGTGTGGTTCTTGTGATTTTTTTTTTAGCTGTGCAACACAATGACTGTATTACTTAGCACCAGTCTGCTCATTTATAGTAACAGTAAAAGCTGCTAACATTTATCAAAGCTTTGATATGTTAACTCAGACAACCCTCACACTCCTGTGAAGCAGCTTCCACTATACGTATTTTACTCATGAGGTAATGGAGACCCAGGGAGGTTGAATCAATTTTATCAAGTTCACAAAGCTAGGAAGTGGAAGAGCTGGAACCTTGCCCAACCTCTAATTCCAGAACCAAAGTTCTTAGGTATGTTCCTATTCTGCCTCCCAGAGGTTGTAAATGGGAACAAAACATGAACTCTATTATGGTAAATTCTAGATGCTTATTAAAAAGATTTTTTTGAATTAGTTGTTTATTAGATGACATGCATTTATACTCTTCAGACCATTAAGATTCTCCCACGGTGTTTCCACTCATGTAATTTTCAGGGAAGGACTGTGCTCTGCCACACTTCTGGACCTTACCAGGGGTACAAACCAGGGGTAAAACCAGGTTTTAGCCTGATTATATGATCCAATGTAGCGACCGGGCAGAGAGAGATTATATCAAGGAGACTTATTCCAATTTGTCAATGAGGAAAGTGAAAATATGATTAATAGCTGCCCAAGACTTTGCATCTTTTGGAAAAACTATCTCACAGTAAAATATATAAAAACCTTCCTAAAAGTGAGTAAGTTTCTTCCATTTTGCTAGTCATACATCTAGACCTACAACTCCTAACTGAGGCTAGCATAAGATAGCAAGGTTGAACTGAAATTCTAGATGATAATCTTTATTATCTAATGCTTATTCAATGCTACTCTATCTTCTTGTAGGTAAAACTTTTAGATATTTATCTAAATCTAGGCGTGAGACCTGAGAGCTACTAAATGTTATAAATTTGAATTTCAAGTTATATATACTCTGAACTTACTATATTTTCAGTCGCATCTCAGAAAACATATTACAATTTTCATAAAAGTCATAATAAGACTTTCATAAAACCACAAGACTTGGCCTATAACCAGGGTGTCTTCAGATCATGGTGAAAACAGCAAAATATACTAAGAGTTCAGATTAATCCCTGCTTAGCTAATATATTCTGTCCTATTGGCTTTTTTCTAAACAGTTTCTTCATTGAGGTACACTGGGAACATAGCAAACTGCACAAATTTAACATGAACATTTATCCATCCCTTATGTTTTAGAATGATTGTGAACTAAAAAGTTTCATAAGGCATAAAAGTGCATTCTTTTATTAAAAGAATATATGAGTAAATGTCTGTACAAATCAGATTTATACAGACAAAAAAGTACCTAAGCATGCAGTAAACACAGGGAGTAAAATCTTGAATTAAAGAGGTCCTACCACAAAGACTAGCTATTAGATGCTCTTATAAGTTCCCCTAGAATATTTTCACAATGATGGGTTTGTGCAATGGATGCTGCTTAACTGAATGACTCTTTTAAAGGCAAGGACTCTAGATCATTTTATTTTATTTGGAACAATGGTCACAATGAAGTTCCAAAATGGAACAATGATTATGAGAGATTATGAATGATTATATTGCCCAAGTACAGTCATATGTGGCTTAATGATGGGTGCATGTCCTGAGAAATGTCATTACACAATTGTATTGTGAGGACTCCACAGAGTGTATGAACACAAACTAAGATGGGAACATCATTGCTGGGCAATATAATCCCATGGAACCACTGTTGTATATGTGACCCACTGTTGACTGAAAGGTCATTATGCACTACATGGCTGTACTGAGAATGATTAGATTGATAGTCCCAGCCTGAGCACAGAAATGGGAGTATGCCGACCCAGAGACAGTATAACATGAGGACTTCAGAGCACTACAACTAAATTTGAGAGAAAATTAATATAAACCAAGAAAGTTCAGGCATGAATTTTTTAAACACTGCACTTCTGGTGAGTGATAATGCTGACAAGATAGCAACAAAAATCATTACTCATGATCTTTTACTGGCAGTTTTAAAGATGTGTACATTCTTAAATTAAATGTAAGTGCCATATTTGAAGGAGCCAGCAGCATGTCAATAATCTAACAAACATCTTTTTTTTTTTTTTTAAACTCAGATACAGTTTTTAAACACCTGGCATTCTGGATTAAGTGAGGTTTCAAAATATAAACTTTGTAACAGATTCTTTTATTAAAAAGTCTCTCATTCAAGTAATCATAAATTATGTCTGATCTCAATTAAACTATCAGAGGAGTTGAAGGCAAGTCTTTAATGTTTACGAATTTATTATTATGTTACAGAACTAGTACTTAATTTGCTGCAGAAAAAGGTTTATGTCCAGACTTAGGTATATACAATATTAAAACAACTAATTCCAAAAGTTTTACAATCTATACTCTCACCTCTTTCCATACAAGTCTGTGTGGAAGGAAAACCAACTTCCCAGAAATTCTCTGGTGTGTTGGGTGGAATGTAGCGAAATCGGTGTCTTGAGCAGGCAGCTAACTTCTTCTCTCGTTCTTCTGCTGGCATATCTGCATAATACTAATAACAAAAATTGGAATAAAAAAAAAAAGGAATAAAAAAAAAAAGAGTGTCATGCTAATTTATCATAAACTAGATGCCAAACATGTCACTGTTTGAAATATTAAGTATTCTAAGGAAATTTAATACTCACTGATAATAATATCAGTAATTAAAACTTGTAGTATTAATTATTTACAGCAATCAGTGCTGGTAACGGTCTGTAAAATGTTTGCTTCACGAGTCAGAAAGGGAGCTTGCATTACAATATAAATTAATATACTACCTATTTCATTAATAACAACTTGCAATAAAAGACAAAAAATGTATCTGGCTCAATAATCCGACTCATTCTCATGAAAATGGCCTCTTATTGTCCTTATACAAAATTTTTATGGACTTGAGGTACTACATTGACTTGTTTACAGGTGCCCTACCCTGTATTTTCCTTTAATGCAAAAAAAAAAAAAAAAAAAAAAAAAGCCATTTTAAATTTACCATGTGCTTCAAGAAATGTTAATTTGTGTACAAACTCTTCATTCTGCCAGACCAGTAAAAAATTAGAGGTCTACAGTTTTCTCAACTGTTATTTAGATACAACATGTGTTTAAAAGAAATTTATTTTTATCTCTATAGAGTTTTTTAAAAAATAACAAATCTTCAATTTATGTGAAGCAATTCTGTTTCAAAAACTTTTAAGTTACAGCAGTCACAGGAAAAACAGGGAATAGTCAGAAACAATCAAAGAATGATCATGAGTACTGCTTTTTGATTTGTTTTTAACACTGTCATGGCTTTATTAAAAAACACAGTTGCACAAAAGTATTAACCTCAAAATTTAAGGAGAGATTCTTAAAGAACTTAACACACTATATACATACTAGAATTCAAAGAGCATTAAAATAGGACCCCAAACTTCTACAAAATATAACCCCCCTTTACTTATTTGCATGAAAATACCATCCACAAAGCTAAATAAGTTCTTAAAAGTTATCTGGAGGTTCACTATGTGTTGTTTTCAAACCAAAGAACTCTAATTTTGATTGGATAATAAGATGATTGATAAGAAAGTCAATACATAGATTTCATTTTAAAAATAAGTATTTTATAATCTGGCATAGTATTGTAATAAGAATTCTTAGAGACTAAAGCAGGGCATATCAATTGTTAACAATTAGGAGAAAAATGTTAATCTTTTGTACTTTCTGATCCCCCTACTAAATTTATTCCAAGTGTTTTATTTCAGTCAGTTGTGCAACTTTTTAGTTTCTCCACAAATAACCTTTAAAATGCCAAGTCATACATTTTAAACTAAAAAAAAAAGACACACACAAAAAAAACCAAGCAGCAGCAGTACTACATTCATAATTTAAATGTGTCCCAGTAGAGAAGAATAGCTTCAATTAGTTTACTGACACTTTTAAAAACCTGCATTACAAATATTCAAAACAAAGAAAAAATTTTTAGATAGTCAAGCTAAACAAAGAAATAACCTTGAAAATGGAGCCTCCGTGACAAAAACAGAGATGTACTTGTCTATTCATTATATTTTATTTAGTAGCCATGTAAGTAAGCACACACTCGTACTTATTCCAAATATTCTTCTATTTTAATGGACAGTCACTTGAAAATGAGTCTTAATTTTAATATTTAATCCCAAATATTTTTCCAACTGCCTACAATATTCCAATTAAATGCTACATCTGGTAATGTTTTAAAACTATAGGAACAACTAAAGGTTCTACTCAGAAAAATTAAAAATACTGCACAGGGTTGGTACCCAAATAATTTGGGATGCAAACTTAAAAATTAACATAAATGTCTCATTAATTATCAACAGGCAATGACACTGATGCTAATTCAAAAACCTTCCCCTGCTTCTTTACTTTCTTCATCCTACTTATATGGTCTTATGTGTTGTCAGTCAAGAAAGATTTACAATAAGCAGAGCTTGCTGCCTAAAATTGAATCAATAACATTATTTGTATCTCAGAAAATTCTCAGTTTCTTCTACTCTGTTTAAAACCCAGAGAGATCTGAAAAGGTGGTTGAGGTATAAAACTAAAGGTTTTCTGGGTATCCAGAAGTTCCCAGCTTTCTTTTGGGATAGAGAGAGGGGAGTCAACAAGAAGGGAAGGTGATCATAAAGAAATTGATGAGAGGAGAAAAAAAATGCACATCTAAAACAAAAGAAAATAAACAATCACTGGCATCTCATGATCTGCAGCCTACAGAAAGGGCTCAGCTGTGTGTCTCACTTAGTATAGGCAATTTTTTCTTCAAAAATAAAATCCTATCAATCACCACAAAATCCATGAATTATATTACTGACTAGAACCTCCCCCAAATCCATAAACTATCTTGCTGAATAGAACCTTTATTATTCTGCTTCTACTTTCCAACTTAATTCATGTGACAAAAAAACCCACCCAAATATCCTTAGCTATTTAAAAAAAAGTCAATGCCTTCAAAATAAAGATCCCTGGATCATCTCTTAAAACAACAACAACAACAACAAAAAAAAAAACACAACTTATTCAAGACACTGTCATTTCATATTACAGATGATTGTAATTTCAGTTAATTTATAAATAACTTTAAAATCTTATGAATGAAATGCACCAAACTTCACTTGTAAAAGCAATCATGTTTTCAGACTAAAAATTACTAATACAATGAACCTGAACTAGAAAAATTAAGCTTCTAAATATAATTGCTAGAGAATGTCTTAATGGGGGGAGTGTCAATGAAATTTTTTCTCTACATACAACATGATCATTAACAGACTAGTAAATCTTAACTGGAATGATAAGGCAAAAATAGTAAAACCACACTTTTCTATAAGATGTTACACAGTATCTTCTTTAGGGATAGCTATCTATCGTACATGAAAAAACAAAGATGTGATCACTCTACTGCAAACCCAGGAATGCTGAGGAATCTGGTCTTAGAATGACCTAGTTATCTTCTTCCTCTCCATCATCTTCAGCATCTCGTTTCCTCTTCTCCCCCCTGGAGACTTTCTTCTTCCTTTTCCTCCTCCTCTTCCCCTTCTTCCACATAATCATCTTCTTCATCCTGAATTTCTTCTCTGTCAAGTAAGAAAAGCCCATTTCTTCTTCTTCTTCCTCTCCCAATTCTGATCCTGCTTCATCATCTTCATCCTCCTCTTCCTCATATCCTTCAGGTGGACCAGCTTCATCTTCCTCATCTCCATTCTCCTCCTCCTCCTCTTCAGAGTAAGGTGCTTCATTATCCTCCTGATTAAATCCATCTAAGAATGTGATTTGTTGCAGCAATTCAAAAATACTTTTTCTGTAATCTTCCAGATTTGTGATCTCACAGTTAAACAAGTCAAGACTTTTCAAATTTTTAAGATTTTGCAGAGCTTCTACCATACTGAGATCTTTGATTTTGTTTCCACTCAGATTGAGGTAGGTAATATTTGGACATTTTTCTGCCAGAACTTCCAAGCCTCCAAAAATTATATTGTCACTAAGTTCCAACTTTCAAAGTTTGTTTAAGCTGGGAAGTTGGGCCAATAAACTTAATTCCACAATAGCCATACTCAGAAACTCTAGTTCTTTAAAAGTGTCATTCAGGTCTTCAATTTCCCCATTGCCACACAGGCAATTATGAAGAACTAACTCTGTCACCTCCTCCAGGGCTTGGTTCCTTAACTCCATGTTAATCCTCTTCTTCATCTCCATGTCCTCCTCCTGCTCTTCTGCTCCTCCTTTCCCCTTTCCTGCTTTCCCCACTACCCCCAACCCTAAAATTTTAAAAGATTTGAAAATGAATGAAAAGAAATGCAAATTTAAACGCCCACTACCACCAGACAGATGTGGGGGAGAAAGAAAAGAATAGCAAATGGAGTCCAAGGAGTTGGAACTCTAACTCGGCTGCCCCCACCTCCTTGTCCACACACCTGAGTGCGTCTACACACGCATGCACGCACACACACACATATATACACACACGAGCAGTTCCTTCCCCTTCAATGGCTGCTCAGAGCATCTCTAGAGTTTTTTAAAATAAAGATTGACACTTAAATGCTGTAGGATTCATGAATTCCCCCTTTATATTGTACTTTCAATTAGGATCAAAGGCACACTATTTTTTGCAACTATGATGATAAAGAATTTGAACTTCACACAGACCTGGATAAAAACTATACAGGTCTTCAAGCTCTAGACCTCAAGAAAACAAAGCAGTAGTTTACAGCTTAACAAAACACAGGTGGTAGTCATACACTCTAGTCAAATACTTGAGGAGATGAAAATCTACGTGATAATTTACCAAAGGTATCTACTGAAAGTGACAGACTTAGGGGTAGAAGTTAAGTTGAAAGTTCTTTTTTAATTTTACACAGATTAAAGGCTTTAAGAGAGTCTCTGTAACACTTTTTTTAAAAAAATATTTATTTTAGTTGGACAGCACACCTTTATTTATTTTTATGTGGTGCTGAGGATTGAACCCAGTGTCTCACACATGCAAGGCAAGCACTCTGCCACTGAGCTACAGCCCCAGCCATGGAACACTTTTTTTTGAGCATGTTTTTCATCATTCTCATTGCTATACAGCTTTTATTACCTGAGTCTAGGCTTTGGGATGAGATGACCTTACATAATTAAAGCTTATTCAAAATAGTGATTTCACTATCTTGAACTATGAAGAATTTGAACTTTACGCAAACATGGATAAAATTTGTATGTCAAAACTATAGGGTTGGGGTTGTGGGGTTGTGGCTCACCATGAAACCAAAATGTATATGAGAAACAACAGTACGCTTGTGTAGCTGTAACACAGCAATCCCAAGAGAGTAGTAGAATCCAGAGAGAGGAGATGGCATGTTAGTTTGCTGTCCTTGATAAGGACTTCAGATTCTATTTCTCAGTGAGCTGAGAAGACACTGAAGGGTTTTGGGCAGGGGTTACATGAATTAACTTTTATTCTAAAATAATCACTAGGGGAGAAAAGACCATTTGCTGTTGTGTTTGAAGAATGTTGTAAAGAGATTAGACTTCTGAAAAAAAATGGAGATGGGTGTACATGGGAACTCTGTACTTTGTGCTCATTTCTGTTGTGAATCTAAAACTGCTCTAAAAAGCAAATCTTATTAAAACAATAAATAAATAGAGGACAGTAGTTGGTCCAGGACATTGGCTGTAGAGCTAATGAGAGCATGAACATGGGATATATTTTCAAAGTAGAATCAATGGAAGGAGACTCAGTGGTGACGTTTGAGAACTGCATGTATATTACATATTCTATGTGGAATAGGCAATGGGATAAATTTAGTAACTATAAGTATACGGATAGTATTTTAAGTACACGAGACAGGATGTGTCACTTCTGGTCATGATAGAATAATGAAATGATTCACCCTCGTATCTTAACTTTAAAAAATTATATAAAATGTATGAAACAATGGTTTTCAGAGACTGGACAACAGCATAGAAAATGACTATCAGAAGAAAAGCAAATTGACATTGTTTCTAGCAATGATTTCTAATTAGTAGGATTAGTTCTAGATCATAAAGAATTATGCTTATAACTAAAAGTTGGGAGATTTACTTAGGGAGAACATGTTCTTTAGTTAAATTATGAATTAAAGTTATGTTATGAAAACTCATGATATAGGAGGTTTTGCTTACATTTTCAAACTGCTTTTCAAAATAGTGACTTCACTATTTTGAACTGTGATCATAAAGAATTTGAACTTAATGCAAACATGGATAAAATTTTTGTGTCAAAACTATAGGGTTGGGGTTGTGGCTCAGTGGAACAGCACTTGCCTGGCATGGGTGAGGCACTAGGTTTGTTTCTCAGCTAAATTAAACAAAGGTTCATCAACAACTAAATATGTTAAAAAAAAAGAAAAACAAAAACAAAAACAAAATAAAACTACAGTATTCCCACTATGAGTGCATATTTTCATCAAGTGCTTACCTGCATGGCAATATATTTATACTTTCACATGTAATTTTAATGTGCTTGCTCACCAAATTTTTTAGCTTGTTTTGGTTTGGATCATGTTTTTAATTTTTTGAGATAGGGTCTACTAAGTTGAGGGAGCGGATCACAAACTCCTAAATTCAAGTGATCCTCTTGATTGGTACTAAAAGGTGTGTGGTACAGCTCCTGGCTGTGGTTTGGATCTTAAATGTTCCCCAAAAGCTCATGTGAAAGCTTGGTCCCCATATGACATTGATACTAGGAGGTAGTGGAACTTTTAGGAAGGTAGGAACTAGCTGGAGGATGAAGGTCACTGGGGATGCATGCTCTTTAAGGATGTAACAGGCTCCTAGTCCTTTCCTCTCTCTCTTTGCTTCCTGCCTTGTTATAGCTCAAAACAAAAGGGCCAAGTGACCATGGATTAAAACTGTGAGCCAAAATAAACCTTTTCTCCTCCTAAGTTGTTTACCTCAGGCAATTTGTCTCAGTGATGAAGAGCTGACACATAGTCTATAGGTGTTAAAAAGGAAATTTAAATGGGGAAGTAAATTGCTGGGGGCAGCCATCTGACAGCTACTACATAGTGAGAAAAGAAACAGAAAACAGTATTAATAAAACTACAACCTGCTTGGGACTATTATTTTATTAACACTAACTACTTAAGCATCCTTCTAAGAATGAAGCAAAGCTTATTCATCAAATTTTGTACAGTGAAAAAAGCTTATACTGGTAAGTATAACTAATCTTCTGCAAGTGCTGGTGAAAGGAATAATGTTATAGTAAAAATTTCCTATTGAAATATCAAAAATTTCCCTGAATAGTACATGTATATGAGCCTTTCAAAATAAATACAGAGAAAAAAAAAAATGGTACCAATGTCTTAAACTGGTCATAAGAACTAAGGCTTAGGCCTCGGATTTGTTTAAGAGAAATTGAGGGCTTTCATTTTCATTCATTCTCTCAGGTCATAGCTCACATATATATATTTATTTCTTCTATTATTCCTGGCTCAAACATGGTTTCTGGATATAAATATAATTTGTATCTGTGATTTTTAAATCATGCATTTATAACCTATAAAAGAGAGGTTACATTAGTACTTACAATTTCACATTCTTTACATGTGTGTCCAAGCAACTTTCTTCTCTCTTCTTTCTTCCGAACTACCTCAATATGAGGGAAATTTTGTAAGCTAGTCTCTCTGGGGGAACAAAATAAACTGAATTTAATATTAACTCATTTGCTACTGCAAAAATCTTTGGCTTAAGATTTAAATTAACAAAGGTTTAAGCACAGAGGAGAAATAATCCCCAAACACTAATTCATTATATTTGAGATGCGCATTCAGTATATTAGAAAAACAATGACATATATGCCTATTATATGTCAAGTCCATTTGTGGATATTTCTTTGTAAGGGAAGGAGAACTATTACTTCTTATTTGTCTTTGATAGAAAATAGTAAGCTAAAGCTAGAAGGTAAAATATAACTAATTAAAAAGCTAATAACTATATTGTTAAACTCAAATTTCAGGGCTAACCTATTCCTCCCTGAAGAACAGATTTATCCATTTGTATGCCATTTGCAATTGTGTACAAAAGAAATATAACCTTTTGCTGCCTCTACTTATCCTGAGTTCTTCAAAATATTGGGCACAATTAAAATTTGTACTTCTCTTTAATGGCCAGGATCCTATTGTGAACCACTAAAAACTTAGGAAGGGTCCAAGCCAGTGAGGTATAGGTATGCAGAAAAATTAACACTTAAAAGACAGTAAATGAAGAGCTGGTAATTGCACATATATTAAATTTTAGCTGCTGTTTTTATAAGTAAATGAAGTTACAGGTCCTTTTTGTTTTTGTTTGGCAGTACTAAGGATTGACCCCAGGGGTGTTCTACACCAGCTCTTTTTATATTTTATTTTTAGAGTGTCTAAGTTGCCCTGGATGATCCTGAACTTGCAATCCTCCTGTCTCAGTCTCCCCAGTAGCTGGGATGACAGAGGTGTGACACGCACCTGGCTTCCTGTTGTGTTTTAACCTAAGAACTCTCAACTCTGAAGCAATCTGACAATTTAAAAAGAAAGATCAAGAAAGGATGATTAAAAAATATTGCTACAAATATATATTTTTTTCAAAGAGTTTCACGAAATTGTAAACTTATACAGAACATATCTTGGCTCTATCCTTTCCTTTGAATATTAGCTATTCTATTTTTGAAGTAATTGCAATGTACTAGGGAATCCACTATTAAATTGCCATCAGGAGCAAGACCTTACATAAAGCATCATTTAGAAGGCTACTAAGTTTTTTGTCCCTGACACAACACAATGCATTTTCCCGGGTTTGCTAGAATTCTCAGTGGGGAAAGTAAACAAGTTAAATTGATACCTTTATCATCTTTTCTTTATGTATATCTTATGTATCTGGCTATTTAGTAGCTTCAGAATAAATAAAAATACATTTTTTTAAAATTAGTGTGCCTCTAAAATGACAATCATTACTCTATAGTTCTACTTTCAGATATCTATCCCAAAGATACATAAGCAAAAATATAAAAAGGGGGAGTGCAAAGCTATTCATAACAGCAATTATGTGTGCTAGCATTACTGTAAACATTCAAAGTGTCCATTGCTAGGGATAAAACATGAAGTTACTGCACAGCAAAACAAAAACAAAAACAAAACAAAAACTGTAACTACCCTCTTTTAAAAAATGAGTGATAACCGGGCATGGTGGTGCACACCTGTAATCCCAGCACCTAGGGAGGCTGGAGGCAGGAGGATTGCGAGTTCAAAGCCAACCTCAGTAATTTAGTGAGGTGCTAAGCAACTCAGTGAGACACTGTCTCTAAACAAAATACAAAAAGGTCTGGGGATATGGCTCAGTGGTCAAGTGCTCCCAAGCTCAAGCCCCAGTACCAAAAAACAAACAAAAAAAGTGTGGTGCTAGTAAAAATTCCTATATTTGTAAAGTTTGTCATTTTTATTCTTGAGTCCTTTTTGGTTATGATAATTAAGTAAATGATTGTATTTTAATTAAAATGATAATTTAAGAGCTTAGAGATATTCCAACAAAGAGCTCTGTTGTACTTCTATCTCCTTGCTCATAGTAGTAAAGACTCACTTACCTCTGCTCATCTTTAAAATATGGCTCCACAAATGCTCTCTGCTTGACTTTATCTTGTTTATCAACATGTGCTATAAACAAAATAAGCATGTAACAAAATGAGTGTAGAATTTAATGAGAAATAATTAGCTTGTTCAGAAAGAAATATGACATGTATCAAAGCTTCCCTTTTTACTGAGTTTCATACTCTAGACCCCTGGGCAACTCATTTAAATTTTCTATCACTAATTTTTCTTTTTCATTCACATAATGAAAATGGTGCTGATTGAACCACATCTCAGTTACTAAACACCTACATCTCAGAAAGTATTTTAAAAGAACTACTCAGATATCCATTATTATCATCTGGCAAGAAAGAATAACAGAAGGTTGCTTTTAGTATATCTCACTTACTTGTCCTGTTTATTTTTAGTCTTTAAAGTAGGTTATAACTATAAAATAGAGCATTTGATCAGAAAATGGGGACAAAATTTAAGAACTAGAACTCAGAACATGGGATCTGAATTTCAACATGTCTAGACTCAAATTAGTACAACTGTTATCTAATCTGAATCAGAATTTACTCAGCATTGTGTTAAGTTCTGGACACACAAGGTACAACAAGAAAGACCTCATCTCTTGTCCTTATGGAGTCTACATTACAGTGAGAGAAACAGAACTTAAGAAAGAAAGTGGACAGTTAACATTAAGCAGGTGAATGAACAGTTAAGGCTTACCTGAGAAAGAACACAGAGGTAGTAACTGATAAATGAAAAGTTAGCCATGAAAAGAGGTGGGGGTGGGGATGTTACAGGTAATGGTATGGAAATAGGGAAAAGTATGGTATGTTACTGTACTATGAGAAGGCTAGTATGGTTGAGATTTAGTGAAGAAAGGGAAGGACTGGGAGAGATGAGGCTGGAGAGGTGGGCAGATATCAGAACACGATGGGCCTCAAAGTCTAAGAGAAGGAGTTTCAATTTCCCACAGTGATTTTTCTCTCATTAAATAACTGTTATGCCTGTTTTAAGACTACATTATTATATGGTATGTTTGTTTATCATTTGTATTTTTCTAGCTCAACAAAATGGAGATTCATCCATGTTGTTGGGTCTAGTAGTTTCTTTCCTACTAGATAAGTAATATTCCATTCATGTGTTGATAATTGGGTTGTTTCCAGTTTTGAGCTATTTTAAATAGTATGGTTAAAAACATTTTAAACACATTATTTTGTATATTTTATATTTTCTTGGGTAATCCATCTAGGATTCAAATTTCTGGGTGATGGATAGATATAAAAAATGAACAAACCTCTATGAAGACATTAAAAAAAAAAGTGCTTCCCAAACCATTTTCAAAAGTAGTCTTATTAACAATTTTATATTTCTACCTTCTGTATGTGGAAGTTTCAGCTGCTCTTCAACCTTTCCAATATTAGGTAGTACTAGTCTTTTTAATAATCTCAGTGGGTGTGAAGCGGTATTTGTTCCCTGATGTCTGATAATGCTGAACATCTCTCCTGTGCTTAATGGCTATTCAAATAACTTCTAATCACTGATGAATTTTAAAGTAAAAAGAATTCAATCCAGTCTACATTTAAAGTAAATCCTTCTTGATATTCTGTAGAGGAGAAACAACTGAAACAAAAGACAAGTTAGAAGGTCTATGATAAAATAGATGAGACAGCAGTGGTTTGCTGCCAAAGGGGAGAGAAGTGAAGTGACATAAAATATATTTTAGAGCTAGTACTGCTACCTATGGTATTAGACTAGTCACAAGGTGAGGTTAAATATGAGACGCCCCCACTTCTATCTTTAGCAATGAGGTGGAGAGGTACTATGGTTAATGAGATCTGGAGAAGCAAATGAAGATCAAATTCAGGTAGAAAAATAAAGATTTCTAATTTGACTATATTAAGTTAAAGATGCTTATCAGATGTCAAATAGTCAGCTGGATTCAATAAGGATTTCAGAAGAGAGAGGACTTGGACAAGTATAATGAAGATACAGAAACATGTGCACTTGGCTTCCAGAACAGTACATCTGTCTTTCCCTCTTACCACACAATCTAAAGCTTCTTCTCACTTTCCTTAGTTGGTTCTTTGTTTCTCTGAGATATTAAAGTTGCCATGTTGTAGAGGTCAGAACCCTAAATGTTTCTTTTTTTCTATTTATTTTTTTAATACCAAAGTGATTTCACTCGTATTTCATGGCTTTAAACACCATCTACTTGCTGATGACCTTCTGCCCTCAGATTGTTTATTCTGGATTTCTTGTCCATACTCTAAATACATGCCAACTGCCTTCTAGATACTTTCACTTGCATGCCTAATTAAGTACTCAGCTATTACCTCAAAAAATCGTCTTTCTTATGAAGGAAGATCAAATAGGACTTTGTAATATAGGGTTGAGAAAATTAAACAAATGGACAATAATGCATTATCAAGCCTTGGTTAATTAGCTTTATGAGTTGCTTACCGAACTCAGTTTAACGGAGAAGCCATAATTTAAAGAGAAAACAGCCTTACTATTTGGTTTCTTTGTGGCAGCAGACAATTCCTCCTCTTCATCTTCCATCTGGGAGAAATTATCTGTCAAACAAGATTTGTATTCTTCATGTGTTGTCTGATCAAACATATCTTCCAAGCTATCGTTCATTTTATTTTCTCCATCTACGTAAAAAAAAAAAAAAGCACTGGCTTAGAACAAAACTAGCTTTCTGCTTTCCATGTAGACCAAGGAGAAACCTATAATAACTGCCACAAAATAATGTAATGAGGTTTTTAGGGACTCTTGTTACATGTGGATTATAGGCTTTACTTTGAAGAGTATTCTTTTTATGAAGAGATGTATGAAGAACTTATAGATTCAAGTGTATAAGATGGTTCTAAGAATGTGACCTGTAAACTTTATTTAAAGTGAATATAAATGGGTTAAAAACTGTAATGTATATAATGACATGCTTAAAAACAATTCTTTAAAACATAACTATTAAAATATAGGTTCTAAACAGAGCTGTGAAGTGTTCTTTAAGTGAACAGACATAAATAAGTGATGTTTGTGAACATGTATTAAAAATGTGATCCTAAAAATAATAGATACAAACAGTGATATTAAGGGTTAACTAAGTGACTGTAAGTGATTAACAAACTATAATGTATACATTGAGATATTTAAAGGCACTTCTTAAATCATGATTCTTATGGTGAGGCTTAAATTATACTTGGTACATGAGGCAAAAATAAACTCTCATGTCCTGGCAGTTAACTGAGTATTTATAATGGTTTTTAATATCCTTTACTCATGTGAAGAAAATGCTAGTTTTTGTTACTGACATAACCAGCTTACAAACATCAAAGCCTCTTCCCTGTATCAGTTCATGTACAATTCATATAAACCAAAAGGAGTCTTACCAAAGAAGCTGTGAGGAATAAAAAAATACAACAAAATAAATGACAAAAAGCACCAAGTTTAAACAAAAATTGTATAAACAGTAGACATTAAAACCTATCAAATTCTTACTTGTTTTTCTAATGAAGTAGGAAAAACAGTATTTTCTTGTATCACCATTAGCACTTGATAGTTTAAATTTATAGAAATAATAATCCAATGCCCAATTTGATATATAGAAGTGCTAAGTTCATCTTTCGAGTTCTAACTACATTTCCCATTACATAATTACGTTTTATTTATTTATTTAGGTACCCTGTATTGAACTCAGGGGCACTTAACCACTAAGCCACATCCTAGCCCTATTTTGTATTTTATTTAGAGACAGGGTCTCACTGTGTTGCTTAGTTCCTCACTTTTGCTGAGGCTTGTTTTGAACTCTGGATCCTCCTATCTCTGCATCTCGGAGCTGCTGGGATTACAGGTATGCACCACAGCACCTTGCTCATAATTACATTTTAAAATACATTAGAATTTAAGAAAAACCAGAAACAGATTTAGCTGGCTAACAAATGTGTCAAAACAAATCAGGCATGGTGATGCACACCTGTGATTGCAGCAACTTCAGAGGCTGAGGCAGGAAGATCTGAAGTTTGAGGCCACCCTTAGCAACTTAGAGCCTCAGTGAAAAAAATGCCCATGCTCAATCCCTAGTACCAAAACAAAACCCCCAAAACAAAACAAAACAAAAGCAAAAACAAAACTGACAGAATACTGGTCAGATGAGATTACTCTACTACCTCTCCGAATCATACTGCGCTATCACTCTCACCTTGCCTTTTCTCCTTGACTTACCATCATCTATCATACCATGTATTTCATCTACCATACTATATATCTGCTTGTTTCTTTCCCATTAGAATATAAGTTCCATGAGATATGTATTTTTTAATTTTTTTTATTTTCAGTTCCTAAAATACTTCCTGGTATGGAATTTTTGCTTGTTATTATTGAGTGATTAAATATTTATTTTAATGCTAAGGGGTGTATCTGTTAATTAAAATATCATTTCCATGGGTCAGGTGCTATAATAATAATACACATCCATAAAGCATTCTGTATATGCTGTTAGTAAATCACAATGTTAAATTGCTGACTTATTTTGTTGTTGTTGTTGGTCTGACTACTGACTGCAAAATACTTAAGAAAGCATAACTTTACTGATCTATCGCAGCACCTAGTAAGTCTAACACAGAATAGAGATATAGAAAACATTTTTCTGAATTAAAATATTAGCAGTAATTTAAAAAGTTATTTCAATAATAACAATTCTAAGTGTTAAAAAGGTTTTACATATTATGGGCAGATTCCCCCCCACCAAAATAGGGTTTCAATAATGTCTCCTATTTCACATACTATTCTTACAACAAGCCATCTGCTTAATCATATCTAAAGACTGAAGATTTAAAAAAAAAATGATGATGATCCCATATGTAATTCAAATTTTAAAAAATAACAATAAATTCTATGTTTTAAAAAAATAAAGAACAAAGATTCAAGGCAAGGAATACTGAAATATCACTCACTGCATTTGGGGCAGCAAATGAAATGTCGATTTAAGAGAAGCTAAGCAAGACTAGCTTTTTTTTTTTTTTTAAAAAAAAAAAAAAAAAAAAAAAGGCCCTAAGAAGGTAGACTATAGAAAGTTCAGCAGAAGGAATGTATCACCTGCCTGAATGTCTAACAGGTGATCACTGAAAAATGCCTCCACTTTTAGTATTGTATCCCCAGGTGTCTAGCTCTAACTCTTCAATACATAAAGATGATAAATGACAACTGTTAACAGTCTATGTGTTCTCACATCATATGCTAAAGTAGTGCTAACTAGAACCATTCCATTGTTCTCTCTCCTCTTGTGGAAAATCAAACTTCTTGGTGAAGGATTAACAGTTTCTTACTACAAAGGTAGGTAGACCCTGATTTGACTAAATCCGTTGTCTATAAAAGCTAATATGATAGATTAACTCTTTCTCTTGCCATTTAGTGATTCTACACTAATGTCTTACTAGATTTTTCCTTTTTTATTAAATTGATTTAGAAAATCATAAAACACAGTACTCTTAGGATCCCCTTTGCACTTTTTATGAAAAACTATCTAATGATCAGATTTTCTTAAAAGATCAAATAATGAATATTTTAGTCTTGTGGAGCCAAATGGGCTCTGCACCAAGTACTTAATTCTTTCCTTGAATAGAGTAAGCAATCACAAGCAACACACAATGAGGCTGTGCTCCAACTAAATTTCATGTACAAAACTGGCAGTTGAATTTTTTCTGAAATAAAATTATCTTAGTTAAAGATTTTTTTTCCCCTAAAATACTGAAACTAAGTTTTGCTAAAGAGAAACATAAAATTAAAAGAGCAGGAAAAAACCCTAGTTTATGATAAAGAGGGCACTGTGCTAACCAGTACAATGATATGACTAAACTTCATTTCAAATTTTATTACAATAAAAAAAAAATCTTACTTGGACTTTTTTCTCCTTTTTGTTCTTGCTTCTTCATTTTTAAAAGCACGGTTTCACTGACCAATGTACAGTCCATGTCTACTGTCTCTCCTCCTAATCTTGACTGACTGCCATCCTGAATAAATATTTTAAAAATCCAAGATTTTAATGATTATTCCTTTATGGTTTTATATTTTCTTTTTACTAAAAAATTTTGGCAAAACATATGTAATATAAATGTTTACTATTCCTGAGAACTGTTATATTTATTTTTATTCTTTAGGAACAGAGATCTAGATTTTATTGCCTGTAAAATATTTTAGCTTCAATATATAACCATCTTCTCTCAAACACAGGAAAAGAGGGCTGCTGCTATGGGAAAGGAGGCTTATTTACCAATGAACTCTTTGGAGTTTTTCCTGTCTTCTTCCCCAGTCACCCTCACTATAATAAACATCATTGTATACCAAGAATGACAATTTCAATAATCAAATTTGATTTATTAATGTGTACATATTATCTTAGCAACTGTTAAAATTTTTGTTATTACTATTCTACCAAATGAAAAAATTCTCCATCTATGCAGAACCTAAATATAAGGCAAAACAATTTTAAAAAAAAGTAATCAATGGGAAAAATAAACCTTTTCTTATTGGTATGTTACTCTAAAGCTAGTCAAGACATATAATGAATTCTTTGATAAAAATAAATTATTTTAGCTGGGTATGGTGGCACATGCCAGTAATCCCAGCAACCTGAGAGGCTGAGGCAGGATGATCTCAAAGCCAGCCTCAGCAACTTAGCAAGACCCTATCTCAAAATAAAAAATAAAAAGGGTTCTGGATTTAATTCCTGGTACAGGGAATGGGGGGCATTTAAAATATTTAACTTACATATTTAAAATATATAACTAAGAGGAAGAGGGGAGGGAAAAGGGAAATACATGGGAAAGATCTGACCAAATTGCATTATTTTACTGTGAGCATATATGAATATGTAACAGCAAATCCCATCTTTATGTACAGCTCTAATATACCAATAAAAATATGCAAAAAGATATAAGTAGAATTTTGCATTTTTTAAAAAACTATATTAATGGTTTTCAGAAAAGGCCTTTAAAGTCAGAAAGTATTATTACCCTTTCAAAAATAATATAAAGTTGGAAGAATAAACATCTTTATTTGTTTTCTGAATAAATAAATAAAGGTTTTAAGAATTAGCTATCTCAGGTCACAGGAGAGGAGGTTTATAGCTCATTAGAATATGAACCAAATGGGCTTTGGTTTTATTTTTTAACTTACCTTTGTATCTATTACAGTAACATCCATTTTATACTGAGAAAGGTCTGCTCCTGGATCTATACTCCACTGGATATTTTCAAAGGATGCATCTTAGATATGGAGAAAAGATGCTATTAGTGAGAACATGGAGAAACTGGAACCCATAATATTGATGGGAATGTGAAATGGTTTAGCTGCTTTGGAAAATAGGCAGTCCCTGCAAACTGGTGCAGCCAATATGAAGAGCAGTATGGAGATTCCTTGGAAAACTTGGAATGGAACCACCATTTGACCCAACTATCATTCTTCTCTATACCCAAAGAACTTAAAAACAGCATACTACTGAGACACAGCCACATCAATGTTTACAGAAGCACAATTTACAACAGCTAAACTGTGGAACCAATCTAGATGCCCTTCAATAGATGAATGGATTTAAAAAATGTGGCATAGATACACAATGGAATATTACTCAGCAATAAAAGAGAATAAAATCATGGCATTTGTAGGTAAATGGATGGAGTTAGAGAAGATAATGCTAAGTGAAGTTAGTCAATCCCCCAAAAACAAATGGTGAATGTTTTCTCTGATATAAGGAGGATGACTCATATTGGGGTAGAGAGGGAGCATGGGAGGAATAGATGAACTCTAGATAGGGCAGAGAGGTGGGAGGGGAAGGGAGAAGGCAAGGGGTTAGGAATGATGGAGGAATGTGATGGACATCATTATCCAAAGTACATGCATGAAGACACGAATTGGTGTGAACATACTTTATATACAGAGATATGAAAAATTGTGTTCCAAAAGTGTAATAAGAATTGTAATGCATTCCACTATCATGTATTTAAAAAATAAAAGCAATTAAAAAAAAAGAAAACAGGCAGTCCCTCAAAAGTTTAAATATGGATTTGGCATATAGTTCAATAATTTCATTCCTAGTAATAACCCAAGGAAAAAATAAAAACATCTACACTAAATCTTGTACATAAATGTTCACAGTATATTATATTCATAATAGCAAAAAAGAAACAAATTTCTATAAACTGATAAATAAATGAAACACAGTATACAATGAAGTATTATTCAGAAATAAAAAGAAAACATTGGTAAATACTATAATATGGATGAAAATTGAAAATAGTATGTCATGTGAAAAAAGTCAGACACAAAAGATTATATACTGACTGGTTTCACTTATAGGAAACCTCTAGAACAGTTAAATCTATGGAGACTGAAAGTAGATCAGTGGTGCCTAGGATTGGGAGCAGAAAGAGAGATAGTGATTAATGTGTCCTAAACCTAGGTGACAGTGATAGATGTACAACTCTGAGAATACGCTAAAACCAATGAAGTGAACATTTTCATGGGTGATTTTTATGGCATGTGATATATATTTCAATAATTTTTTTTAAAAGTAGGAGCCATGTTAATGTTCTCTGTATTATTCCAAGTTTAGTGTTTGCTTAGCAAACAAATCAATAAAAATTTTTTAAAAGTTAAAATGATAACATTGTCTGGAGAGGTTTTCAACATATTGTATGCAGACACAGACATGACAACTATATCAACTGCAGCTGCAGAGTGTGAAGTAGTTTCCAAGTAGAATGAGAAAACTTAAATAGGTCCATTATAAATTCCCCACAGCTAAAATAGTAAATGTGAAAGAAAAGTTTTCATACAGAGTATGAAACTCTTGCTGGAAGAGCAAGTAAAGAATGTGCTTCAGGAGAAAATAAAAGTAAGTCCAGAATGAAGGAAGAAGTTGTCACTGAAGGATAATAGTTAATAAAAAAAATACTGCATGTGAACTACAGAAATGTTTGCTACCTTAATAACAAATCCCCAGACCCCCAAGAGGACTCCTTTAACAAGTAGAATTATGGAAAGATTTATCTAAATATTAGGGCAAATAACATTTTCAAACAGGAAGTCTTCAAACCTATATAAATGTAAACATTCATATATTTACATGTAAATGCAAAGAAAAAGGACAGATTATCAGGGTGAGGAACAAGGTTTGTATGATAAAAATTCTAATTTATATTTTTTAGAATTCTGTATAGTTTAGATTTTTAAAGGTTTTGTAAAGGAAATAAGAAATAACTATGTAAAGTAATCCACAAAATCACTTAGAAAAGCAGATATTTAATTCTCGATTCATTTTTTTCAAAAAGCAAAACAGCAGAAAAATCAAAGGTAAAATTAAACCAATGAGAATCATCCTGTAAGCAAAAACATGCAAGAAGAAAAAAGATTATTTTTCTTAAAACAATTTAATTTAGTCAAATAATTCAAATGATATTCTAGCCATTAAAAAAAGACTAGACACCCTATTTATAACATCCATACCTTGGTTGTTTTGCAGAGACTTTGTCTTAGCAATTCTACAGGGATTTAACTGAAGGACTGATGCAAGTTCACATGCTCCTTGGACCGGCTGGGTTTTAATTTTTATTGGCTCATGAGAACCAGCACCCTAAACAGAAATAACCATTAGCATCTAAATGAAATCAAACAACCATTTTTATAAAAATCCTTACACATTTAATACAAACCTTCATGTCATCAAAAAGATTTTCGGTCTCCAAACTTTCACGTGGACATAGAGGGATTTTGAATACAGGATTTTCTTCTTTTATCTGTAATGGTGTTTTGTTGTCTGGTGAGGATTTATTCAAGGACTGGAGGATGCACTCCTGTAAACAGGGCTCCTCTGAAGAATCTTTGGGTAATATTCGGCTCCCATCCAAGGCCTTATGGCCTGAGGAAGAACCTTTCGGAATGGGCTTAAAAGCCTCATAAAGAGTCACTTGCTTAAATCTGTTTTTAAAGGTCTCCTTTGCTTGGCTTTTCTCTTGACGCTGAATAGCTGAAAACCGATCAGAGAGATCCAGAGGTTTATCCATCATATTGTCTCCATGCACAGAAAACTGACTATCCATTGGAAATGGAAAAGCATTTTCTTTATCAAAAGAGGCTTGTGGGCAGCTTACTTCATGCTCATTTTCTTCCTCAGTTTTCTTCCTTTTGGATGTTCTGCCTTCCAAAGATTTCAGGGGCACCAAATGTTTATCAGTAATATCTTTAATGTGATCAGTGTCATCCATTTTACCTATGGATTCACTTATATTTTTATTTATAAGTATCTGTCTATTAGAAGATGACTGGCAAATGACCTTGTTTACTTCAGACCCAAGATTATGTGTAAAAAGGGCACTATCTTCAGATTTTGATCTAGGTTTCTCTGATCTAGAAATAGAAGTGTTACTAAAAGGGACTGTTTTCAGATGATTTTTTTTCCCAGTGTCTAAAAGAGAAGGGGATAAACCTGTATTCAAACACAAACTACTTTTCACATTAGAAGTAGCTCCAAATACAGGAGATGACACCCGAGTAGTTAATTCTTCTTGAGGAGTCTTTGAAGTAGAATCTGAAAATCTAAATAAATAAAGAATGATAAAACTTGATTCCTATTAAAGAAATAGGGTAAAAATTAAAAGACAGGCATAAGAGAACACCTTTGCTAATACAGAAGAGATAGTAAAATATTTTCTACATATCAGAAGCAGATAATGATTAACCAAAATTTAAGATACAGTACCACTGTTGCTTTATTTCCATTTGGCAGACAAAAGTAGAGGAAAATGATACAGAAAATATGTTTTAATACCCTAATATTCTTGCCCATGAGTTTTTTAAAGTAATTTAAATAACTTCATTATATAAAATATTTAACAAATTAAAAAAAGAATTTTTTATTTTTGTAGTGCTGGAGATTGAACCCAATGCCTCCTGCTTGCTAAGCAAAAGCACTCTGCTGATAAGCTACACTTCTAGCTCCCAAATCCGTATATTATAGAATTAGACATAAATTAAGACCCACCCTTTCTCTAGCAAAGGAGATAGTTGTAGAAAGGTCATTAGATTTAATTTTGAAAATGTAGGATAGATATCCTGGGTTTAGTACTTAATTTAAGTGACCTTAAATAAGACATTTAATAACAATCTCTAGGAGCTACATTTTTGTCATCTGCCCCACATTCCCCCCAAAAAGGGGTGGGTGAATATATAATAAAACTTTCCTTAATGACTTACTTTTTTAACAGACTAAATATAATAAGTCGACATCTAAAAACTGAACAAAAAAATTGCTATGGTCATTACAGTTATTGTTAGAATGGATATAAAAATGAGATGCAACACAATCTTGGAAAGTTCATCCAAACTTACAGATACATTCTGTATAGCATTCAGTGCTTGGAAATATAAACACAGAAGGGATAACTGAGTCTTAAAAGGGTAGAATAACAAGGTTGGGAGCTCTTAAACACTATTCGATGATGTACAAAAAGGATCTAAAAATAATATCCACCTCTCTGTTGTACAAAAGCTCTCAACAGGTCATTAAGTGGAGAGACATTTTAAAAAATGAAAATAGAGGTAGAATAGCAAACTAAATGCTGATGGAGAGAGAGGGTTTAATTAACTGGTTTAATTATAATGGAACTTCACCAAAGTGCCCCAAGTTACCTTAAACTATCTTCATTATTTCTTGCAGATTCCTCAAAAGGCTGTTTCTTATGATCTCCTTCCAAACAGTGGTAGAGCTCATCACCAAGAGGGCTCAGGGGAGCTTGAGATTCCTTCAATGGTAAAATAAGCAGCATACTCACACAATGGAATATTATACATCCTTAATAAGGGATAGAATACTGAGTAAATGCTATGATGTGGATGAACCTCAAAACTATGCTACAGGAAAGAAGCCAGATTCAAAAGACATATAGTGTATAATTTCATATTTACACAAAAATATCCAGAATAGGTAAATCCATAGGGGCAGAGAGTAAATTGGTGACTGCCACAGGCTATAAGGTGGGGTGAATGAAGACTGAATGTTTCAGAGGTATGGGGTTTCCTTCTGGAGGAAAAAATGGGTTGGAACTAGATGGAGGTGGCAGTTGTATAATATGGTGAATATACTAAATGTCCCTGAGTTATATCCTGTAACATGATTAATTTTACATTATGTGAATTTCATCACAATAAAAATGAAGCATATTAAGTTTAAAGAGAAAGAGCATTAAGATGTTAAAATTTTATAAAAGTACATTGTATTACTGGTATATAAAACTCCAATTCCAAAAAAACGCACTAAGATGGGAAGAGAATACAGATGAATTTAAAAGGATCCTTTAGAGAAAAGTGCTTCTTATTCTTTAACATGCATACAAGTCGACTAGGGATCTTATTAAAATGCAAGTTCAGTAGGTCTAAGGTTCTGTATCTCTAACAAACTTCAAAAGTGATGCAGATGTTGTTGGGCTGTACATCATATTCTGAGCAAGTTTTTTTTTTTTTAATTTTCACACGAGGGATTGAACCCAGAGAGACTTAACCACCAAGCCACATTGCCCACACTTTTATATATTTTATTAGTGACAGGGTCTTGCAGAGTTGCTTAGGCTGGGTTTGAACTCATGACCCTCCTGCCTCAGCATCATGAGTCACATGATTACAGGCATACACCACCACAGCTGAAGCAAACTGTTCGATGTCAGCTCCCTTAACATATTTGGTGTCTAAGCTACTAACTTACTAGGTTTATGGATAGGAGGACATTAAAAACCATTAAGACACATTTAATTTTCAAAGAGTTTTTAAAAATCCACTATCATTTGAGAATACATCTAAAAAAGAGCAAAAACTCAAATGTAATGAAAAATCAATTCAATTTTCAGAAATTCAACAGTAAGACAACTTTATGAGTATGTACACATTTACTAACTAAAGCAGAGAAAATTAATTTAAAGTTGTGTCAAAACAGAACTTCTTACGACTGAAGAATTCAAGTTTTCTATTTTCTAGGGATCAATTAAGAACAGAAAAAAGATGTAAACCTGCCTGATGTAAGTAAGTATTCAAATAATGAAAACTACAGGGGCCAATCCCTGACCAATCCCTAAGAATTGGATTGGCAGTTCTTGATAGTCCCAAGAATTCAATCTTTTTCCAAACCAAGACGCAGTTTAAAAGATGCCAAAAAGACCCAACAAATTCTGAAACCAACCTAAAGGTTTAGGTCTTCTCTTGGATACAGTGAGGGTGGGAAGAAAGCATAAAAGAGGGGACTAGAGAGAGGACTGACAAAATAAGTCCTTTAAGCCATTATCATTCCCCTGTAATTTTGATTTGACCCATATCCTAAGAATTCTGAAGACTCAGGACTCTCTGGGGGAGATAATATAAAAGGACCTTTCTAACATTAGTTTTGTTCTAGGCCTTTATTCAATAATCTTTGGATAAAGTAATTTTCCTCTGGCTCAATTCTTTAAGAGTAGATCTAAACGGACATATCAAATAACACCTATTATTAACAAACTAAACCATTACTTACAGATTCTTCTTGAACACTAAGTCCAAGTGTTTCAGCAACAACTGTAGCCAAATTAAAAGATGATTTATCAGTGGAATAACTGCTTGTTCCACGTGTTTCTAAATAAGAGAAAAACAAACCAATTACTCAGTTTCAGAAATTACATGTAAAAAATTATAAAAAAGTAGGAAAAAATCTCAAAGAACCTATTTATAAGATGGCACTGGAGCCAGACATGGTGGTGCACACCTATAATCCCAGGAGGCTGAGGAAGGAGGACTGCAAGTTTGAGGCTACCCTCCATAACTAAGCGAGGCTCTATGCAACTTAATGAGACCCTGACTCAAAATAAAAACTGAAAAGGGCTGGGGATGTGGTTCAGTGGTAAAGCACCTCTGGGTTCAATCCTCAGTACTTGGAGGTGCAGGGGGGAAATAGTGGACAAATTTTAAAATACTGTTCAAGAAAGCTCAAAGTATCTACTATAAATAGCAATAAGTTACTGGCATTTTGCATCCATACTTGCTAAACCTTTCCAGTTTTCCATTTTTCCTAAATGTACTAAATGGAGTACATAGATTGCTTTTATTGACATTGTAAAAAAAAAAAAAATCATAAAATGGATTTGTAATTAAACCATGTTTATAGTATGTTTGTGAATATAGTGGAGGTTTTTAGCACTGCATGTTTTTCAAGTTTTAAGCTAATGCATATCTATATAGGAATCATCTACATTCAATCATTTTAGTTTTGTATATTTAGAGTTTCTGTACATAGTAAGTATTTATGGAGTACCTATTATGTGCTGGGTATGTTTAAGCACTAGATGAAAAGAAAAAGCTCTTGTTCTCAAGAACCATATGTACTACAGTTGAAAGGTAAAAAGAGAACTGCAGTAGATGTGATAAACATAATAAAGGCACACATAAAAGGTGACTCAAACATAGGACTCCTAAATCATCCTTGGGGAAATCAAGGCAAACTACATAAAGTAATGTCTACTGACCCTTAGGAGAAAGAGGTGTGTGGCAGGTTAACTAGATGTGGGTCAGAAATTAGGATTCTAGGTATGCTTGAGGTCCCAGATATTTGAAACAAAATTGCTTGTTCAGGGAACTACATGTGGTTTAATTGCTAGAAGTGAATCACACAAGATGAAAGTAGTAGGATAGGAGCCTAGCTAGGTTAGTTAGGGATCAGATTATGCTAAGTAGTTTAGAATTTCTCCTATAAACAATGAAGAGACATCCAAGAATTTTAAAGGGAGGACAGAAGCAATACCAGGGTTAAAAATGTAATGAACAAGAAGTAATCACTAATAGGCAGAAAGACTCATTAGATTACTAAAACAGTCTTGGTGTGATACTGATGGTCTAAAACAGTACCATGGTGGTACAGAAGACTATGTAAAACAGATATGCAGGAGTAGGAATCAGTAAGGCTTAGAAGCTACACAGAACATAAGATGAAGAAGCAGGAATATAAAATGACTTAGAACTCTTCGACTTAGGTAACTCAAAAGAAATGTGTATAATATTGTTCACTGAGGTTGTAAATAAAAGGATGAAAAGTAGGTCTGATAGGAAAGCTTCCATTTTGGACATGCTGAAGATGAAAGATATTCAGAGAGAGGTGCTCAGCAGCAGGGGTATATAGTGATTTGGAATCCAGAAGAAGAGTATTGGACAGAGACATAAATTTGGGATTTATTAGCATATAGGTTAGTAGTAGAATATTGATTGTATTATTAGAGAGCCTTCTAGAAAGATTAAAAAAAAAAAAAGACATGAGCAGGTCTAGGACTATCTATATTGGGAAACAGAAAACACAACTTTTGCCTCTCTCCAGTTGGCCTAAAGGATCTCACTTTTGGTCCTATCTTATGGGCAGCTCCTTCTCTGGCTACTTTGTTCGTTCCTTCTCATTTTCGTAATCTCTAACAAAACAGCTGCAATACTGCCTGAAAGGAGTGAAAAATGGCTTTCAGGGGACAAAAAAGTCTTATACTTTTTATGTATAAAGTACAAATGAAATGTAAAGAGTACATAAATGGAATATATAGCATTTTTGCAATATTAAAATTGTGTGGAGGTGAGGTGGGGGTGTAGCTCAGTGGTACAGCATTTTCCTAGCATGCATAAGACCCTGGGTTCAATCCCCACAACCCCCTCCCCCTAAAAAAAGTCATGGGGGGAGTTATTTGGGGAATTAAAAAGGCTCACTGGACAGGTGGAATGAACATGTGAAGAGTTAAGAATCATTGCTTTATATAATGGAATTCCTCTAGGCTCAGTACTCAACTTCTCTCCTCTATGATGACTTGCTTGGAAATCTCATCAAGTCGCATGGTTTTGAAAATTATGCTGAAAACTTCCATACATACCTTCATCCTGAATTTCCCTAAATGCAAATTTACATCCACTCCCCATCCAAAATCTTTATCTGAATATCTATTCTATATTTCAAACAGAATATTACAAAAAACCAAAATCCTGAATTTTAACCTTTCCTATCCCTTACCCTGCAAACCTGCTGCTCTCAGTCACTTCTACCTCAGTAGCAACTCTATTCCTCCTGTTGTTCAAAGGATTTTCCCCTGTTCTTTCAACTATACAGGTTTCCTTAAAGTTTCTCAAGCAAACCAAATGGTACTTTCTTTGCCTGGGATGTTGTTCTCTCAGGTATCCACATGTCTCCCTCAGTCTCCCCTGAAGTGTCACTTAATGAGTGAGGCTTTCTAATATCCCTTTTACCTGCTTCATTTCTCTTCAGCACACTTGACTCTATGCCTGACATGTATTTATTCTTTTTCTTTCCCAATTAAATTATAAATTCCACAAGGACAAGGGCTTGTTTTGTTCAGTGCTTGACATATAGTAGATACTTATACATTTTTTAATAAATGAGTAAACCATAATAAAGCCTTCCTTATATCATTAGCAATTTATACTAATATGGATAAGAATATTAATATAAATTAATACTAGGATAACATTATTTTCTAATATGAAAAGACTTCTAGGCAACTAATAACATAAACATAAATTATATAAAATATTCTTGAAATAGTCTAATTCTAACTTTTGGTGACTCTTGTCTACCAATAATCACAAATTTTAAACTTATAAAGTAATCTCAGTATCTTACTAGTCACTGGAGCTTGACTTTGATCACAAGTGTCAGCTACTAGAATTTCACTTTCATTAGGCTTATGTGGAGGGTGAGTTGAAGTCTTGGAGATTTTTCTTAATTCTAAGGGGGAGAAAACAGGAACAATTATGTAACAAACAAAATTATTATCAAAATATTACTCTTATAAGCTAATATTACCCTGTAGTTAAATGTATACAAACACTATTTTATTGACATAATTCTCATATTTTAAGAAAAAGTAAGTTTCTTTAGTTTTATTAAGAACAAAGCTGAAAGGCAGTGGTGGGAACAAGGACTTGAAGAGACAAGTTTCTTCTGACCTAAGATGCCTAAGGCATAACATTTTAATGTTTCTTTTTTTCCTGTATCTGTTACAAATCAGCAGGTTAATTTAAAATGTATATTACATTTTACACTACTTTACTTTTCTAGAAGGAAACCCTGGAACATACCAGAAATATTTCTACTGATTTACTTCAAAGAAAACCAAAAGGATAAAAGAAAAACACAGCCTAAATGTAACTTGAAAATCATTTTAAAAAGCACTGTGTATCTAAGATAAACAAGCAAACATGATCAGAACAAGACTAATTAGTCATTAAATCACTTAAAACTTATTTTTAAAAAAATTTGCATGGCTCAAAAGCTACTATATTGGGGCTGGGGTTGTGGCTCAGGGGTAGAGCGCTCGCTTAGCACGTGCAATGCCCTGGGTTCAATCCTCAGCACCACATAAAAATAAATAAATAAAATAAAGGTATTGTGTCCAACTACAACTAAAAAATAAATCTTTAAAAAAAAAAAAACTACTATATCTTTAAAACCAAAATTTCAGATTCCAAAGAAAAAATGATCAGAATAAGGAAATAGCAAAAAATTTTAAATAGTTATATGTTGCTCACATACAATGAAGAAATAAACTAGAAACAATCATGTGAGATACAAAAGAGGTTCTAGTAAAGAAATTTTTGTGGTTTGGTTTCTGGATATTCATATAGATGAACCTAAACATGATCTAAATTATATAGATGATTATCTGTCTGTAATGATTCACGTTCTAATAGCAGTCAAAAAGGCCAATGACTACTCCTTCTAAAATATAATATCTAGATCCTGTTTTAATTTAGTTGCTAATTGTAGGTAGAATTTTTAACAGTTCTTTGGCTTTCCACTAGATGGTGATGCAAACACATATAAAATACAGAAAAGCTGTCAATTTTCCAATTTCAAAGAATAAATATCTACTTATTATTTCAAAAGCATAGCTACCATCAATAATGTATTTGCACTATACAAATATCTCCAGAACTTCATATTACCTTCCTCCAATGCTTTCCTTGTTATAAGCAGTTTAGGTAAAAACTTAAAATCTTTACCATTTTTTCTTTATTAAATGGTAATCATTGTATCATGTTATATGACAAATTTAATGGCTATATAAAAAGGTAGTTTCAAAGAATTTTACAGAAATGGTAAACTTGGCTGGAATTAAAATCTGTCACTGATAATTCACAAAACATATACATTATAAAATCATTTAATTACCACCAACTGCTACAGATTACAACAAAAATAACGAGTTAAAAAGAGCTCCAAATGGTAGCAGTACCTGTGGGCAATTCTTGGAAAGTATGGAAGTTTAGAGCAAGGAAGACCTGTATGTTAATTGTGACTTATCTACTTATATGACAATTGACTTTGAGTGTATTTTTAACTTCTCTAACATCTCTTTCTCATCAATAAAAGGAATTAACAGCTATCCCATAAGCTATTGTGATAATTAACATATAGTAATAATGTATGCAAATCAATCAGCATATTAATATATTCAAAACAGAAGATGGAAATTAATATTCTTTTCCTCTTTCCTTCCATCCCAGATATGTGCTCATTCGAATATTTTTAAAATAAAAAGAAACTTTCCTATATTTATAAAATGCTGAGTATTTACATATTCAGACCAGGAACACATCTACTCATAATACATGCAGAAAATGCCCTGTCACTTTATTAGTGGAAGTTAAAACTCAACAAGTGTACCATGGGTTACTGAACAATGACTATCTTCCTTCATTAGACTGAATAATGTAAAAACAACAAATACTTTTTTTTTTTTTTTTACAAAACCAGGTAACTAAGAAACAACTCTAACCTTTACCATTTGTACAAACAGAATACTCCTGTTTATTCTGTGCTTTTTCCATGTATCGGACATGGAGATTCTCCTTTCTTCGTAGCCGGTTAATGCCAGAAAATGAGAAGGCTGTTATTGGTGAACCTGGAATAACATTTTCCTCAGATGCAAGTTCAGCTGCTTGATGCTGTTGATCCTTCCTAGAGGAAGATGACAATTGAAAGAAAACAAATTCAACAAATATTTATTAAAACGTCTACAATATAGTATGGAGCTATAGCAGAACACAAGTGGAAGACACAAGAGATGTGTGTAATGCCTTGCATCTAATATTCCAAATCCAAGGATTAGAGAAGCATGCAAATAACTATAATACCAAGTGGGGAATATTATCGTGAGAAGTGAAACAGAAAGTGTAGTCATTGGCACCTGAGATGAAATTAGAAGTATTTCAAAAGGCAAAGAAGTTCAGCAGAGGATCCACGCTGTTTTGAGTAAAGGCACACAGTACTGTATATGTGTTGGATAAGAGCAAGCAAGAACTATAGGAAAGGAAACTGTGAGTAAATGTGCATGTAATTGAGAAAGCAAGAAGAAAAGAACAAAGGTTTTAGAGTATAAAAGTAATATGACAAGTTTATAGCAGTGTACCAGAATGACTGGTATAGAAGGAAGCAAGGCACTCAATTAGACAGTAAATTTAACAGTCCAAGCAAGGGCTTCTGTGGTTTGAATCAGAATACTGGAAATACATATAGAAAGGAAAGAACCAATTTTAAATACTGAGGTGGTAGAATCAACACTACTTGGCAAACTACAGATGGGATAATAATACTGACACTGATAACTGCCAACCTTTGCTGTGTACTTAAATCACCAGAAACTACTCTAAGTGCTGCATGCCATCACTTTAATTATCACAACTGTGTCTCATGAGATATTATTATTACTCATTTTACCATGGGAATGAAGAAAAAGAAGTTAAGTCACTTAAGTCAAATAGTAAGTAACAGAGACAAGATTTAAATTTTGGCAGACTCTAGAGGCCCTTATTGTCAAGTATTCAAGTGTTGTTATTCACTATCAAATAGTTAACCTATATAAAGTATTCTACACCATGAGTCTAATGACCAATTATGATAGGCTGAAAAATTTGAGTTTCTATCTCAGCTTCTGATTTACATCAGTCACAACAGTCCTATTAAAATTTAAGTCAGGGCTGGGGTTGTGGCTCAGTGGTAGAGTGCTTACATGGCATGGGTAAGGCACTGGGTTAGATTCTCAGCAGCACATAAAAATAAATAAATAAAGGTATCATGTTCATCTATAACTAAAAAAAAAATTTAAGTCATGTCAATTAAGTCAGATTAAAACCGTGCCACATGTCCCATTTCACTAAAAACACAAACCAAAGCCTTTGATTAATCCCTAAGACCCTATAGGATCTGTTTATCTAGCCCATATTAACTCCTGCTACATAATCTACATAATCTTCCTTGAGTTTACTCAAACACACTAAGTATAATCCTACTTTGGGCTCTTTGTTCTAGCTGTTCTTCGCTCTACTCTTCTCCAGGTATCCACATGGCTAATTATCTCATCTTTCTATCTTTGCTGGAATTTTAATAATTAAAAGTGCACCTCCCTTCCCACACAACCTTTTCCTATTCTTGTTATTCTGCTTTATTTACTTTATCTATAGTAAATATGCTTTCTAACAAGTATGTAATTTAATATGTCTCTGCTCACTTGTTAGAATATAAACTTTAAGAGGGTAAGGCTCTCTGGTTTACTGATGAATTACAAATACCTACAACGGTAGTCAAGTAGTATGTACTGCACAAAGATTTGTTGAATGAATGAATACAAGACTTTCCCAGATACTACTCAAGAAATAAATTTATGCTGATGTGTATGTTCTTGTCAACTCAATTCAGGACCAATGGTACTTAAAAGACTGAGTTTGCATTGAACTGTGGTTTCTGAGTAAAATTAAGTCAACTGACTTTCCAATATCAGACCACTACTGACCTTACTGGCCATTCTTATCAGTTTGTCAGTCATTTAATCTTTACATGACCAAAGTAGCCTGTTCTATTAATTTGTGATATTGTTTCAAACAAAACACATGAGAGTTTAGAAGACAAAGATTAATGTTTTCTAACAAAGATTTATATTTTAATTTCCTGGACAATATAAATATTACTGTGATCTATAATCCTATAGTCTATGCTAAAAAACAATTTTTAGAGATAATATGTAATTTAAAAAATTTTATTTTTAATTGATAAATAATGACTATAAAGTATTTTTTTTTGGGGGGGGGGGGCAGGGCTAGGGATTGAAACCAGGACCTTGTGTATGTGAGGCAAGCACTCTACCAACTGAGCTGTATCTCCAGCCCCCATGACTATAAGTATTCATGGAATATAATGTGATGTTTTGTAATGCTTACATCCTGAAATGATTAAATCAAGCTAATCAAATTTATCACTTCACAGATTTATGTAATGATATTTAAATTGTACTTTTCTAGGAATTTCAAAATATACAATATTTTATTATTTATTACAGTCATCTTATAATAGATTAATAATTAATTTTTAATCTCTTCCTGCAGTTCTATCCTTATTCTGGAAAAACAGAGTACACTAAAGTCATATGAGAAAGCCTTACAAATTAATGGAGTGTGAAATCTGTTTGGCCTACCTTTAACTAATCACGTCATAGTGTACTTTCCTATTAGTCATAAAAATTCAACCTGAAACACGAATGAGTCATGAGAAGAAACTGATTTCCTGGCAGTGTCAATCTACAAGTAGCTGGGACCACAAAAGGAGAAAACAAACAAACAAACACCTAAATGACAAAAACCAAAACTAGCTCCAACTAGAAGTGCCCAAACTAAATAAATAAATGCTGGTTTTATCCTCCTTTGTCATAGTAAAGGGGAGAAAAAAAGAAAACAAAAAAAAAAAACTTCTGTCTTAACCAAATATTATTCTTAATATTAAGTCTCTGATTTTCTGAGAAAAGTTAGGAGTTTCTGTCATAGCTTTTGGCTAAACTAATTATGCACAGTTGTTATTCTTTCACTTTTATTTCTGAGGGCTTGAGAATAAATGTTTTCGGTTGTTTTATTTGTAGGCCTCCTCTTAAATTCTATCAAATCTGTTTTAGTTGTTCCTTTCCCCAAAGATCTATAAAGGATCCAAGGTTTCTCTTCATGTGGAGTCCGCAATTTTTAACATTCAACTTTTCTTTCTCCACTCCGAAGAACTTATAATTCCAGTTAAAACATAATTTAAATATAAGGAAGCAAGGTTAAAACTATCACCTTCATTTAAATGTTCTAATTTTCCAAAAGGGAAGATATTTACTTTAGAGAAGACAAGACTTGGAAGAACCACGATGGGTGTCTTCATGTATCAAAAGTGTAGTAAAGTAGAAGAGAGTAAAATCAGAATCAATAAATATAATTTGTAAATAAGGTGATTCTACGCAAGCATGGGAAAACTATCATCTTGCTAAAATTAAACAGACTCAGGAAATGATGAACTTGTACTAAAGGTATTTCAACAATGGTTACTTGTTAAAGAAGTTATAACAGGAATTTTATTAGAGAGATGAGGGTTAAATGAAGTGAATTCTACAGTCCTTTGAAATCTTGTGTAGATTCCTTAACTTTCACTAATGCATCACATTTATTTTCCAATACAAAGAATCATGACCTCAATACATAGCTTAACTATTTGTTTCCTGTGACTGGAAGAGCTTACTCTTTGTCTTTATTTTTCAACTTTATAACAGCAAATTTTTATTGAATAATTTCTTACTGTAGTGTCACTTAACTGTAGAGACACTTAAGTGACATAGAAGACACTGAAACCAGCTCAGGAAGGGCTGGGGATGTAGCTTAGTTGCAAAGCATTGCCTACACATGTGAGGTCCTGGGTTTGATCCCCACCACTAGAGCTCGGGAAAGAAGTCAAGCAGGTTAGAATTACTGCACTTAATAAGAAGTCAATATTTTTTTCTAAAGTTCTGTGAAATTTCAAGCACTAGTAGCATAACATTATAGTGGTTTAGATAGTCAGAGGAAGTGAAGTTGCCTTTACAAGATTATCCTTGCTATTTTTAAAAAACTGCTAACCATAAAGAAATTTGAGGCAAGTCAGTGGTAAAATTGGCTCAGGAGAATCACAACTATCTTAAATTTCATGAAAGATACATTACTTCCTACACTGTTCTGACTAAGCATATTAAATAAAATAAATAAAATATATGTGCTTTGAACTTGTCTATATAATTAGTTTTTATTGTAGCCTTTACTGAAGTCTACTTCTTTTGTAAAAATATCAATTCACTTCAACAGGAAAATTTGTGCATTTAAGAACAATAAAAATAAATTCTAAATAATTAAAATTCATATTTCTATCAAGCAAACGACAATCCAGTTTCAATACAATTTATACACTTTGGTTTTGGAGGCATTTCTGTATTAATCTTTATATACGTAGTATCTTTAGTATCTTATCTCTGCTATCATAAATATCAAGGTTGAGAAGTTCAAAATACCACAAGCTACATGTACTAAATCACTTCACATAGATTAATGTAGGTCACCAATCACTTATCTGAAATCCTTGGAACCAGACAGGATTCAGAATTTAGATTTTAAAAAATAAAATATAACACAGAACATATATAGGTTATTATACGACACTTCCAGTGCAATTTGAGGCACTGTCCAGTAATCAAATACACTGGTATTTTCATAGCAAAACATACAAATACTCATAAAGTGAGATGAATAAAAACTACAAATAGCATTCTAGTACTTGAGATACACTTAAGTTGTGAATAACATTAAAAAAAAAAGAACCTTTTGGGTTTTGGAATCATATTGAAAAACTGTGGGTCTGTCTTAGCCTTTTTTCATCACAGAGCATCAGTAAAATTAGAAAGTGTTGACATTTTCATACACACATTTCATAGCTTTAGTCTGATTTCATAGCCTTCCTTCATCATCTATCATCCCCCTCAAAATTCCCTTTGGCTATCAGTGTTCAGTGGACTAATTAATATGAAAGAAACAGCAAAATTCTATTGGACATCTAATACCTAAAAGCATACTGATAAGAATGTTATTTCCTCCTGTGAAACATGTTTATACACAGATAATAACTATTCCAAGCCAATAAAAAAAAAAAAAAAAAAAAAAAAAAAAAATCTTACATCTTCATAGTTTGGGGTATCAAAGTGTTTGTGTTTATTTGAAAGCAATAGAATCTTTAAGAACCCTATAACACCATCGGTACTATGCCAGATTCTAAGTTTTAAAAAATACTTTAAGAGTTTGGTGCTATGGTGTCCCATTAGTTCTAGCAATTTGGGGGGAATGAGGCAGGAGGATGGCTTGAGACCAGAAGTTCAAGGAGAGCATGGGCAACACAGAGAAACCCTGACTCACCCTCCCCACCAAAAGTAAGTAAAATAAATAAAAATACTACATAATCTGCATATAAATGGGAACTAAGAATTAGCCCTATCTCAACCCTGAATTAGTTAGACCACATCAGGGGGAAAAAAAATTTAAGACAGGGTAGCACAGAAATGAAAACAGAAAAAAAAAAAAAAAAAAAACAAGGTGTTTAAATCAGAAGACATGGGTACAAGTGATGGTCTTATTACATAGTAGTTAAGAAATCACAAGCAAGTTATTTGACATTGCATTTTAGTTTCCCCATTTGTAAAGTAAGGATAATAAAACTATTCTGCAGAATCAGAGAAAAGATTAGAAATAATAAACATAAAACACAGAAGAGCAACTGGAATATGAGAGATAAGTTATTTTTATTTTTAAAGAGAAATGGGTGAGAATAGAAGAAGACAGAAGTTCTAACAGGCCAAAGAACTCAGTAGGAGGAAATACTTATTCAGTCTGCTTTATGAAGCTCTGAGATACAGCTGGAAGAGGGTAACAAAATACTTGATATTTATAAATTATAAAATGTTTTAATTAAAATGTTGATACTTTTTCACTGTACACTCACACACTAACCAAAGAGAAGAAACACATTTTTTATACATATTCCCCAAACATAAAAATGTAGCGATATCTTTATTTTTTAAATTGTAGAGGACCAAGTTTTAAGAATGAAATCTGCAACTCTTAAGATACTTTCACAGTTTCTAGAGCTAAGTAAAATAAAGAAAATTGGAGGAAAATATTTTCTGTTAAAATTTAGGAAAAATACTTACTCAATCTTTTGCTGCAGTTGTTCAGAAAGCTTTTTATTTTCTTCCTGAAGAGAATTCTTTTCATTCACTTAAAAACAATGTGAAAAAAGCATATAATACAGTTATATTAATATTCATGTCAGGATTTTTTTTAATTATTTTTTTTTTAGTTGTAGTTGGACACAATACCTTTATTTTACTTATTTTTTATGTGGTGCTGAGGATTGAACCCAGGGCCTCGCAAGTGCTAGGCAAGCGCTCTACCGCTGAGCCACAGGCTTTTAAAATAAGATCCACAATTATGAAGAAATGAGAATTTCTAATTTTAAATCATATTATTCTAGTTTGATGCTACTGTGCAAAAGTAATTTGTTACCAGGTAGATATTACTACCTTTCATATTGTGCCATTTCCATGTGATTAATAAATTTATGTAACGCTTGTTACAAAAGAGAATACTTTATGTACTAGAGATAGAGTCTAATACAATAAAGATAAGAAAAAATTCCATGTGGTCACTCAGTCCTACTAATTTCAAATACCAATTTAGGAAGAGTCACTTATCTTAAAATACATTTGATCATAAAAACAACAAAAACTGCCAGAATGGTGATATATGCCTACAAGTCCAGCTACTTGGTAGGTTAAGGAAGGAGGATCACAAGTTCAAGGCCAGCCTGAACAATGCCCTGAGACCCTGGCTCAAAACATAAATATAAAGGACTGGAGGTGTAGCTCACTGGTACGGTGCTTGCCTAGAACATTCAGGTCTGGAGTTTGATTCTTACTACAAAATAAAATAAAAAAAAAAAAATCCTCCAAAAGAACTTCTCAAGTATGCATCTCAGAAAGGATATCATACCAGACAAAGGTGCCAAAAACATACAATGGAGAAAAGCTAGCCCCTTCAACAAATGGTGCTGAGAAAACTAGAAATCTATATTTAACAAAATGAAATTAGACGTCTATCTCTCACCCTGCACAAAATTCAAAGTTGGTCAAGAACCTATGCATTAAACCAGAGACCCCAAGCCTTCTAGAAGAAAAAGTAGACCCAAATCTCCATCACGCTGGCATAGGATTGAACTCCTCAACAAGACTCCTAAGGTACCAGAAACAAAATCAAGAATCAATAAATGAAATGGTATCAAACTAAAAAGCTTCTTCACAGCAAAGGAAACAATCAAGAACGTGAACAGAGAGCCTACAGAATGGAAGAAAATCTATGCTACCTACAGATAGAGGATTAATCTCCAGTATATAGAGATATAGAGAGAACTAAAAAACTTAACACCCCCCCCCCCCAAAAAAGAACGACCAAATAACCCAATCAATAAATGGGGAAGGAACTGAACAGACACGTCACAGAAGAAATCTGAATGGTTGACAAATATATGAAAAAATGTTCAACATCTCTAGCAATAAGAGAAATGCAAATTAAAACTACAATGAGATTCTATCTCACTCAAATCAGAACGGCAATTACCAAGAATACAAGTAACAATAAATGTTGGTGAGGATGCTGGTGGGACTGCAAATTAGTGCAATTGCTCTGGAAGGCAGAATGAAGATTCCTATAGAAAACCTGGAATGGAACCACCATTTGACTCAGTTATCTTACCCCTTGGCATATACCCAAAGGACTAAAATCAGCATACTATAGTGACACTGACACATCAATGTTTATAGTAGCTCAATTCACAATAGCTAAGCTACAGAACCGACCCAGTTGTCCTTCAAGAGATGAATGGATAAAGAAAATATGGTATATATACACAATGGAATATTATTCAGCTATAAAGAATGAAATTATGGCATCTGTGGGTAAATGGATGGAAATGGAGGCTATCATGCTAAGTAAAATAAGTCAATCCCAAAAAACTAAAGGCTGAATGTTCTCTCTGACATGTGGATGCTTATTCACAATGGGCAGGAGGGGTGGGAGTATGTGGAGTTGAGGTTCACCAGATTGAATAGGGCGAGTAGAGGGAAGGGAAGTGGGGATGGGAATAGGAAAGGCAGTAGAATGAATCAAACATAACTTTCCTATGTTCATATATGAATACATGACCTGTATATCCTGTATAACCACAAGAATGAGAAGTTATATTCCATGTATATATAATATATCAAAATACATTCCACTGTGTATATAACTAAAAAGAAAACAATAAAAACCTGTGTTGCAACCTTTTAATCAAGAAATTAGACAAATGAAGGAAAAAAAGGAGGAAAGTATTAAAAATAAGAAAAAAATGTATGGACACAATTCATTTGATTACAATCAATTTACTAATAGGTTTTTAACAAGAATACATTATACTTTAAATTATAATAAATAAAAGAAACTCACTAAGTTCTGTAATAAGTTTAAGATTCTGCTGTCGGATATTTTCAAATTCTTGCTGCTTTTTCCGCATATGTTCTTCAGTTACGGCACAGCGATCACATAATCCTGCTCTTAACCTATGAAGCAAAAACAAAATATTTTCATCTACTAAAAGTTATTTCCTTTTATAGGTTAAATTACCCTATTTGAGATGTTTGGGACCCTTTAGATTTGCTTCTTGTTTTAGTTTCTTGGTTTCGGGAGTATTTGCAGACTTTACCAGTTACAGGTCCCTAATCTGAAAAACTAACATTTGAAATGTCTCCCAAACTAAACCCTTTTGGTATGCTGACATGACACTGAAAAAATTTGGGGTTTCAGAGCATTCTGAATTCTGGATTTTTGGATTATATTATTTGCATTTCAAGATTGTTTTACTTTGTGAAGAGTTAAAGAAATTATTTGGCAAATATAGTGAAAATCAACTATTTTAATGAAGTATTAGACTTTTAACATATCCTTACAAATGCTAAAAATCTGCTACAGCACGATTTTCTACAACTGTATTTCTGAGTGAAATTTTGCAAAATTGCTAATTTTAAGCCCTACCCAAGAGAACTTTTAATTGAAGAAACCAACTTTGTTTTTATTACAGTCAAAATATGAACCATATCTAGCACTAACAGGCCAAATTATAGCTTAAGCAACTTTGCATGTTTTTCTCACTACAGTATATGGCACACAGGCAGTGCTCAACAATATTTTTTTTGTTGAATAAATATTAAAAGTCAAGGAATATAAAGGAAAAATAGTCACCTTCATATATCCCTTTCAACATTCAAAGAAACCAGTATTTGCAAAAATCCATAATATACAAAAAAGATTATAAAATAGCTTTTACTAATTATTTGAGTACTAAAGAGGGAAATACATATATCACATAGGTGTGGAGGGTATAGAAAAATTGTATTTCTAAAGTTAATAATAATAATAATTATCCTGTAGGAAACAATGGGATTTTCTTCTTAGTGTTTTTCTATAGAGTTCTAATTTTTTCAATTTCATTATTTATATAATAAAAAGTGGTTAAAAAGAAGCACACACCCTACATTAGAAATTCAGAATATATACTTAGCATAATTTCAACTCAATAACCTAAGTCAATAACATAATAAGTATTCAGCTATTTATGGAAGTCACCACATGATGGTGTATATCATAAATTTTAAAAAGTTAATATACAACTAAAACAAAAGAAACTTGGACATTTTATATAAAAGTAAAGCTCATATCAACATTGAATGTAAAAAAATAAGACATTATAGGATGCATTAATAGAATTACAACTTTTAGAAGGGGGGAAAAAAGAGGCAGACAGCTTACTTAATGGGAGTAATTCTGAAGATAGGGATTTGAATATCAGGACCACCCTGTATGAACATCAAACTAAAGATGAAAGAGAGCCAGGTTTGGTGGCCTGTAATCCCAGTAGCGTGGGCTGAGGCAGGAGGATCACAAATTCAAAGCCAGCCTCAGCAAGAGGCATTAAGCAACTCAGTGAGATCCTGTCTCTAAATAAAATACAAAAAAGGCCTGGGAATGTGGCTCAGTGGTTGAGTGCCTTGGAGTTCAATCCACGATACCCCTCCAACACCAGAAAAATAGAGAATACCTATATCTACTTTTGTTCCTCCCAGAGTCTCACAAAAATACAGAGTGCTTTTTTCAGGTGTTCTTTTTTCTATTTCTCCTGAGTATGTGTTTCCATATAACTTTGTTATTTAAAATATAAAGATATAATAAATGTATTTTTCTGGGTGGTAAAAAAATTTATATATATATTTTGTATTTCCTTTTTATGGCAATCGTGTTTTCACTTCATACGTGTGTGTTTGTGTAGAGAAACTAAACTGAGAACATTGACTTCTAAGCAAATGGTAAGAAAAGTCTAGAATTGTACTGTCTCGTAAAGCCACATATTGCTATTTCAATCACAATAAGTCATATTCATCTTATAAATTGAGTCCTTACACTCAAGTGCTCAACAGTCACATGTATCTAGTTGCTATCATACTGGCAAAAGCAAATATAGGACATTTCCATTATTACAGAAAATAGGATGGCACTGATTTATACTCAATGTGGTTTACATTGTAAAATTCCCAAAAGGTGTAAAAATTGGTACCCAGACTGATTGATTTAAAGCATGTTTTAAGAAATTATCACACCAACACATTCTTTCCCATAATCTGATAGATTATTTCCTCTCCATGCTGGCAGCAGAATGGAGGTTGAATCTTTAGAGTCTAAAACAGTTTCTGGTCTGAGAGACATGAGGTACACTTAAAGACAGGAGTACAGTAATGAATACAGAAATAGACAAATTCTCACACTCCTACTTAGGCCTTTGTCATCTACTTGACATCTAAAATACTGATAACAATGTATAACAGCCATGTTATACATTCTAGGAAGTAGAGTAAGGAGTCTTTGCTAGATAATCTGACGACTCAAACAATACTTAAAAGATATTGACAACAGTAGGGTATTATCAATGAAACAGACTGGCCAGATGACCCATCACTCTATGGACTTAGAGCTTTCAATTAACTTGTATCCTCTTCTCTTTAATATCAACAAACAGTATCAAGAGACATCTGAGGACAAAAACAATCAGGACATTAAGAAAAGAAAAAGGAAATTTAGAAAAGACACAAGCTATGCCAAGAAACAGAAAACCACCACCATCACCTCCACTAAACTATAAAGAATACTCTACAAAGATTAAAAAAATATATATCAAAACAATGAAATGAAAACAGGATTGCCACAAAAAAGAAATACTCTGAAAACAAAATATCTTTTTTTACCACCCAGAAAAATACATTTATTACATCTTTATGTTTTAAATAACAGGTATGATTACAAAATCATATGGAAACACATACTCGTGACAACAGGGGAAACAGCAAAAAGAACACCTGAAAAAAGCACTCTATGATTGATCTCTTCAAATCATTTTTGAGATCTCTTTGCATCTATCTCTCTGCATATATTTTTTTAATTACTCAAATGCCAAGTTGCTGAGTGACAACCAGTATTATAAACAAGTTAGTTGTGTGCTTTTTAAAAAAGACATTAGGATTTAAGAATATTAGAAAAAGCAAACACTATAAATAGAATGTAGGAGATTATCCTAGAAGGTCAAATAAATAGGAATTCCAGAAAAAGCAAAAAGGTTGGGGCAGAAATTAAAGAATATTGACTTGTTTTCAGAAGGAAAACAAATTAAAAAGAAAAAAGATTTTATACAAGGGTCAGAAATTAGAAAAGTATAGGATTGAATACCAACATTAGAAGAAGTAGCAATTCAGAATTCTGAAAGAAAGTTAACCTAAATTAACTTCATATTTTTCAACTATCAATTCAGCAAAAAATTTAAGAGACAAAAAAAAATCTCAAATAATTTGCCTGTCATTAATATTTTTTAATGCAAATTATGGCATTATTAATGTATGTGTTTAGTAAAGAATCTCAATCTTTTAGAGATATATTTTGATATATTTGCATAAAAGGATCTAATGTCTGGATTATGCTTCAAAATAATGACTAATAAGGGATTAGTGGGAATATAGATGAACTAAGAATGATTACAGCTGGACATGGTTGTGCACACGTATAATCCCAGTGACTCTGGAGGCTGAAGCAGGAGGACTGCAAGTTTGAGGCCAGCCTCATCAACTTAGTAAGGCTCTATCTCAAAAAAGGGCTAAAAATGTGGCTCAGTGGTAGTTTGCCCCTGGGTTCAAAACTTAATCCCACTGAAGAAAAATAAAAACAAAAAGAAAAGAATAACCATAGTTAATAACTGGTGAAGCTGGATGATGATACAGTGGAGCTGGCTATCTTATTATGTCCTATGTTTAATTTTCTAAAATAACCTTTTAATTTTCCACACATCTGCCTCAGAAATCTATTGGAGTAGGTTCTCCTTCAAAATACAGAAAAATAAATCAGGAAAGAGGAAGTTATAGGACTCCTGAAGCCATAAAGAAGTAAGAGAAACCTCTGATGACTACAATGTGCCAAGTAAAGAAGAGTCCATGTTGGAACAGATTAGAGGGTCCAGGGAAGATTTGTTCAGAAAGGTAAAATGACAAACATCTGATCCATCTGCACAACCTGATAAATTTAGATCACTGATGGAACACTGCAGTTGAATTAGTGGTTAGTAGGCAAAAAACCTAAGCATGTGAAAAAAAGATTCATTATAAACATGGACAGTAAAAATGTTTATGGGAAGGAAAAATTAATCACAATTTACAATACCTCTGAACTGCATTTACATAGTCATAATAAAAGTGAATAGTGTTCTAACCAAAATCATTATAAACTATATTAGGAAGTGAGAAATGGAAATGTTATCCAGAGTAGGGAAAAAAGAAAAAAAAAATCTAAGCAAGAAAAAATTTTAAATGACAGTACAAGTCTTTTTAAAAAGAGATCTTGAGGTAAAGAGCAAAATAAAATGTAGAGTTCAAAATGATTGCTTTTGAAGAAAGGGAAAAACAGTTGTTTTTTCTTTTATCTTAACCTTGAAAAAACTATTTAAATCTTTAAACTATGAGCTTATATGACTTTAAACAAACAAAAATGATTGAAGGAAATAAAGACAGTAGAAAAAATAACTGGGGGCACCTGGGCAGCTGTCTTCAAATATCAGAAAAATCAATCATGTAAAAAGAGATTAATGGATCTAAGAGGCAAAAACTAGGACCAAGTGGAGAAATTACATGGACAGATTTCCATCTAGTATATAGAAAACTTTCCGACTATTTAAGATGGAATGTGCAACCTAAGCAAGTAGTGATTTCATTTGTCACTGAACATGTTTAAGCATAGAAAAGACGATCACCCAGAAATTGGTAATTGGTAATTAAAACACATGTTGAACCCATCAGGATAATGGTCCCCAAATCTGACATATCTCAAAACCATCAGGATAGCTTTAAAAGGGAGGGAAGAAAAATATTTATAAATTTCACCTAGGACCAAATAAATTAGAATCAGCAGGGATGGGTCCTAGAAATCTGCTCAGAAGCTCCTCTCCACACATACTTCAAAGCCTTTATAATAAGGCACCCTCTTTCTCCTTCCTATGCTCTTTCAATATCTTATTGCTAAATTGAGCGGTTTTGTCAACTTACACTCTACTCCACATACACACAACACTTTCTACCAGCCTAACCAGAAGCTTATATAACTTTAATAAACAAAAATTATTAGCTTTGTTAGAATTGTTCCTGTTTACCAAGAAATATTTATAATTTTTGAGAATTATGTCCCTGATGACAACACAATTCATGTTAATCATCAATGACCATATTTGTAACAATCACATATATGATTATTTTATATAAAGTAATAAGTAGCTCAACAATTCATCTTTTAGAACAGACATACCCATAATATTTACATTCTAGAATATATCTTATGAATCAACTTTATTTTTCTCTTACACTTATGACATTTTCCCTTAATTATATGTATGTGATTATATTATTCATTAATTTCATTTCAAAATAGTAAAAAGGACATTATAAAATATTTTATAAAGGGGAGTTGCAATTTGAGGATTGAGAATTACTAGTCTAAAAACAGGACTATGCCCTACTTTTACAGCCATCTGTTAGTGGAAGTGAGAGCTGATAAGTTTTACTTTGAATTGGAGCATATTAAATCTCATCAAAATTCAGGAAACTAAAGTTCTTAACTGGAAGACCACATGAGGTTTATTTAATATTTGGTTTTTCTTTTGCAGTGCATGGGATTAAACACAGGGCCTCATGTATGCTCTACCACTGAGTTAGAGCCCCAGCTTACCACATGAGTTATTTTTTCAAAAGTTTCTCAGAAAATTCTGATGGTCACACATGTATAGCAACTGACAAATTAAACAAGACTTTAAAACATATTTTAACCTTGATATTCTATTATTAGTAAAGTAAGTTACTCTGAAGAACCAAGAGAAAAGTTAGAGGAAAATTTGGAAGAAGGATGAAGTTGGATGTTTATCATTTTTCCATTGGACCCTTATCTTTTACCATATTCAAAATTTAATTTAAAACAGATCAGACCTAAATGTAAAAGTGTGTGTGTGTGTGTGTGTATGACACCAGCACAACCAACTGAAGAAAAATAATTATTTACTAAATGAAGATACATCTTAAAGTGTGCCTAGAAGTAAATATCAGATTTGTAAGACAGAAAATACCATATGTACACAGAAATTCACCACTGTCAAATTAATACTATGCAATGAATCATATGCCTACCTAAGAATGTAAAAGTAAATGGAAAGAAAAGGAAGAGAATATTTAGGATAAGAAACAGCAAGGAAGCATGGAATGCACATGAAATTAATGACAACAGGTAAAACAGAATAAAAAAGAATCCAGTTCTAAAAAAGTCCTGCAGAATTAAAAAAAAAATCCCAACAATTTTAGTAATTCAAAATTTTAACTGAACAAAGGGAAATAATTTAGAAAAGACTTCAACAGGAAGGGTGGAGGTATGACCCACTGACATTTCTTTCCAGAAAGGGTCCAGGAAAGGAAAACCCACTCAGGAAGGGAGTGCAAGGTACAAAGGATAACTGAAATGGAAGTTCAAACAAAACTATACAGTAAAAAACTCTTTTTAACAACTGAAAAAGGAGGGCTTCAAGGGCTAAGATGAAGAACACTATCTTGGGGAAGAAATGAAGAGCCAACTGCATCAGCCAGTTAGAGCAAAATATAAAGACAACTATTTTTTTCGGAGTATTAACTTTGTGTCCTAAACTTGTTAAGACCAACTACATAGGAAGGACAACTAGAAATTAATATTATCAATCTCTTACATAAAATTATCTATTTCCTATTGTGAGGAATAAAATCACTGGGTCCACCTTCGTGCACTGAAGTCCTTCACCTTGTGAACACACTACACAACTTATGGTCAGATCTGGCTGATGCATAAGCTCAACAGGAATACTATGGCTCTAAGATTCCACATCACCCTAGCCAAAGCTTCCTTAAAAAGCAGTCGAAGACCTGCCCTCTAACGTCTCTTTCTTACTGGGATAGGGACAGATGCTTGGAGGTCTGACAGCTTTCCCAACCTCTTCCAATTCCCACCTCATTTACAGGTGTTCCTCTCAAAAAATTAATGTCCAAAGTCATCTTGGCATTTGCTTCTCAGAGAACTAAGATTAGCTGGATGTAGTGGTGCATGCCCATAATCCCAGTAGCTCAAGAGACTAATGCAGGAAGAGCACAAGTTCAAAGCCAGCCCCAGCAACTTAGAGAGACCCTAAGCAACTTAGGGAGACTCTGTCTCAAAAGAAAAAAATAAAAAAAGGGCTAGAGATGTAGCTCAGTGGTGGGCGGGGGGAAGAGAGAGGGAAAACTCAGAATAATAGACTAATATATTTAGTTATGATGTCCATCTTAAATTTGTCTTTACACAGGAATCAAGGAACAGCAAGTGTTCCTATCTGTTGGCATAGAAGTGTTCCTTCTTGTTATGGGAAAGAAAAAAACTTGTGTAATTAATAATTTTTTATTTAGTACTGGATTGGGGAAGGGTTAAAGGGAGGTAAACCTTAATTAGAATGAGCGAGGACTCAGGTGAGTCCTCTTCTATTCTCTTCCTATACTTAAGATGTCCTTAGGAGACCCACTGAGCTCCATATTTACATATACAACCACCTACCTGACCTCTCCATTTGTATAGAGTAGGTGCTATTGGTACTCACATCCTTTTGTCATACCTGCCTCTTAACCCTCCAATGGCTTCCATCACAATTAAAAATAAAAAACTATAAACTTAAATTTTTTTATTAGAAATATTTAAAAATATGGGGTTTGATCAATAGTACCATTAAAAAGAACACAAACAAACAAACAAAAACTCCTAAAATCAAAGAAGTCTATGTGGGGAGGTTAAGTAATTGATTATATTATCCCAGTAATATTTAGAAAGAACTCCTAACATTGCCTGTAAGTGAAGAAATAAGTAAGGAAGAAAAGAAAATGGTCGGGGTGGGGGAATAAAGAAGGCAAGAATAGAATTGTGAAACAGTTTCCACCTAATTAGAAGTAAAAATGGAATTAAAGCTTCAAATGAATTAGAACACCACTACCCTGAAGTTCGCCTTACATCAAACACTAAAGAAAGATACCATTTAAAGGTTAAGCTGAGATGGTTGTTACAATTAATGAAAAACAAGCCTGTAAGAATATATCCCTAAAGCCATAAAGGACTTATTCAAAGACGACAGAAGACTAGGAAAAGATCACTTTCAATCCAGAACTGATTACAAATTAAAATCAATGCACTCTCTCTTTTAGGGGGAAAATCACGTCTTAAGTACCAGACTCACCGATCTTCTAAAACTTTAATGGTTTCATGAAGGACTTTCTGTTGCTCTCTCAGTTGCTGATTTTTGGTGAAGAATTCTTCCAGTCTTTGTGCATCTCTAAAAGTCAAGAAATAAGTAAGATTTTCAAAGAAAGACACTCTAAAAAGATAATTGTGACTTTAGAAGTCCACAGTTTAGCCACACAAATACATATTTAAATTTCTTGTATCAAAAAAAGTTGAGGTCAAATACATACATGTAACTTAGTTTTCTCCATTTCAATCCCCACTACTATCCCCTTCTTCGCCTGACCTCCTTTCTCTACTCTATTGGTCTTTCTTCTTTTATTATTTATTTACTTAGAATAGGCAATATTTTTGTGGAAGGAAGAATCATATGATTTGGAATCATCTATATATGTATGTACATATGTATTTGAATTCTAGCTTCACACTGTGTCCTTCATTTAGATTCAGTAGCAAATAACTCAGTCCTTATTATTTCTGAGGTGTTGCTCTAGAGGCTGGGGACAGCACTACTGTTATTATATCATGGGCCTTACATTTAATTGTCAAAGGCTGGGAGTGAACCATAACAGTTGCAGACTAAGTGCATGAAGAAAACAAAATTTAATGATGTAATTGAGTGACCACAGGAATTAGAAATGAAGAGATATTGAGGAGTAGTCAGGAGTGACCTTTCTGAGACAGTCCTATTTAAATGAGACCTGAATAACAAAAAAGAACCAGTTATCTGAGGAAACAGAGACAAAAGGAGATAGAATAGATAAATTACCAAAAAGTCTAAGGTAAAAAATGAGTATGAAATATTTGAGGAACAGAAAGTCTACTGTAATTGTAGGTTAATGAGTAAAGGAGATGAGTGACAGGATATAAGATTGAAAAGTTGGGCAGCAACTAGATTACGTAGGGACTTGGGCAACTAAAAAAATATTTTTAAAATACATGGACTTACTGGTTTATATTATTTTGTCAACATTTGTTAATGTAAGTAACAGCTCTACTCATACTGTCTCTATTCCAATTATGGGAGATTTTCTATTTGTGATAAGAAATAAAAAGTATGAAACAGTGCTGCACAATTTTTTTCTCTGTAATTCTTTAAATTTCTTAATTGAAAGAGTAATTTAAAAGAAAACAAGGGTTTATTTGTAGATGAGTTGTTTATTTCATAGCAGCTGGAAAGGGAATTTTTTTTTCTAAGTGCCATATAGCTGGATGGCTGAATTATGGTAGCTGTCATATTTTATTATTTATTTCTTCAGAGAAAAATAAAGAAGCTATTGTTTTTCTTTAAATAATGGCTGATAAATAAGATTGTTGGATTCACTAATTGACCATGAAGAGAGTCATTACAGTTGATAAACAATAAATATAAGATAGGTAAATCCAAGTTCTTGATCCCACTATGTAAAGACCTAACTCATTCTGGGGAGGATAAAATAAAGCACCCCTTTAATTTTCTGATCACTGAGGGAATTTAGCAACTCACCCATGCTTCCAAATTGTACAACCCCAAGCCACCTGAGGCATACAGGTATAGAGTAACAACAATATGCATTAAAAGGATCAAATGACTCTTTACATAGTGAAGGCATTATATCAGATACTGAATAATCAATTGTGTTTCCATTGTTTAATTTTCAGAGATGTCATTGGTGATTTTTGAAAAAGTAATATTCAACATTCACTTACAAATTTAAGAACTTTATTCATGTGGCTGTTTGGTTATAGGTGTGGATAATACATTTTGTATAAAAAGTCTACTATAAAAAGTACACTTAAAATAAGCAGACTAGATCATTTCAAAGAATTTCTAAACATTCAATCTACAGGGAAATGATTCTGACTCAAGCTAATATATTTGTAATATATTAATACAATTTATATTTTTAAAATTATTTATCTAATAAAGTTTATAGAAATTTATTATTTAAAATAGTTATGTTTTAGAAAATAAAATGACAAGGCCTACGTGAAGGATCTGTTTTAATAAAGCTAATCTTCAAAAACATTTTGTAAATGTAGCTTGAAATATATAAATATCAAACAGTAATTTCTGGGTTTTAGTATTGCTTCTTAGAAGTAATCAACATTTTGACTCTAAAGGAGGTCATTCCAATCAATAGTTGTTAATCCATCCTTTACAAGATCATTAACTTCAACAAAAATCCAAGGTATAATATAAAGAAATCATTGTTTAATAATCAACTCTGAAACATTAAACCTTTGGTATGAGAAAAGGTCAGCACAAACAAGAATTCCTATAAAGTGTTGCCATACATACAAAGAGAAGACTTGTAGAATAACTCCAACACACTGTGATTCAGCTATTTTATTTGGTATATATTAAAGCATCATACCAAGTCACTGATACATCTTTTGATTAACAGTATTTATTAAAACTATCAACCAGATGGCCTATGTCAAAAATGAAGAACTCAGATGTCATTGCTTCTAGGCTTTTTCAATGAATCAAGTCTAGGAAATATGTGTATATTTTCATTTACATTAACAACTATCTATTTATTTATCTACATATTAAAAACCATGAGTTCATACTGGTAACTCCAATTCCTACCAGTACAGGGTTTACTCAAGTCCTCCCCCTTTCTGTATGTGCTAGCTCCTTCCTCCTGACAATGAGAATCCTAGCACTCATTATCAACAATTTACTTATTTATTTGCTCCATTCTGGAATACAAATAAAGCCATGTCAAAATCTTCACTAGACTAATCCAATCATGTTAGTTCAATTCCTTTGCAGCTACTGTTCAGGTATGACCAGGCAAGTTAAAAGAACTCTGCTGGGGTCTGTTCTTGTAAACTTATATAATTAGTTTAAAAAAAAAAAAAAGATACAAAGATGTTCTGCAGGTGATGATTAGAATGATGATGGACATCTTGCTGTTTTATCAAGAATAAAAGGGAAAACTGAACACTAACCCTGTCACAGAAGACACGCAGAATCTTGAATATTTTGAGTCATTAACTAAGCAATGCTAGAATGCCCTTTTTTAGTGGCTTTCTAGGTGAAAGAATACATTTTCCTTCCTGTAAATGTCACTTATGATTGGTTTTGTTTTTTGCAGGAAGAAAATTATTTATCTAATAAGATATACATCCTACATTACTACTCCAAAAAGACTTATTAATTTTCTGTGTAAGTAGAGAAAGATGTCAATTTTGGGAACTAAACCCAGCACCATCACAGAAAAAATGGGTTATCCTACAGTTAAGGTTTAAAGCAACATCTTTAAGTAGAAATATGTATACTTTCAACAGTACAAAACATTTAAAAGTTTCACTAATTAAGAATAAAAAATTATTACTTTTAAAACAAAACATTTAAATTTAATGATTTTCTGTTTCAGAAGTATAAAGACTTTCTATGTGTGAAGAAAAAATTTCTAATTTTCATGCAGGACAGAAAACAATTGGATGTATGCTGATCGGTGACTAGTAACTCTAGTTTTCAGTTAAAGCCTTGGAAGTGTTAGAAACATGAAGTAACTGAAGCCCACAGGTATATACTATAAGAAAGATGTGAAATCATGTCATAATAATATTGATGTTTGTTATACTACTGATATTGTACCATGCCATCTGTTTTGCTTTCCTGAATGTGAAAACACTAAAAAAACCACAAGTAAAAATCTGCTAACACAGAAAATCAGACGTGATTCAGAGCTTAACATCAGAACAATTCACGATATCCTAGGGTAATTCCAAACTACTTAAAAGGGGTCTCACAATACCCATTTTTTGAGTTTAGAAATCACAGAATTAATCTGTTCCCCATCTTGTAGTATTTTGAATTCTAGGTGTTAACACAGCTGGGAAAATATTGTTGACAGATTAAAATGAATTTACAGATTAGATCAGTTCTCATCCTAATACTCTTATAAAAAAACTAATTTAATATTAGAACGTATGTATACATAGTAAAACTATACCTAAAATCAGTTATTCTCTTTATTTTAAAACTTAAAAAGGGAAATCATTGTCAGTTGGTCTAAGTAAAGCAAATCTTTTAAATAAGATTGAGGTTAAACAGGATTAAATACTTTACAAATAAGACATCAGTATTACATACTGATACTTACAAAATTCGTTCCTTTTTCAGTTTAGTTACTTTTACTTGTAAACCTGAAAAGTAATAAAGAAAAAAAGCCTTAGTATTTTATTTATACATATTGTTATTTTTAAGGCAATTATCAAAGTTCCTTTATAAATCAAATGCTACACTATTAAGACCCTTCAGTCTGGCCTCTGAGTAATGAACCAGGTCCCATTTGTTTGTAAAGATTGAGTACATTCACTTTACTTGTGCCCTGGGGTCACAAAAGTATATTTGTAACATTACTGCTTTTAGTCTATTATATGACAGCCACGTAGTATGAAATTTTCCCCACCTAAAGTGAGTTACTTCCTTTCTAATAGCAGGGGCAAACATATAATTAGAAGTTCACTATAAATGAAGGGCTATGTTCTGACATAGCCTATGTATTTGCTAACAGCAATAATGCTTATGTAGGCTCGTCTTTCGGGATTAAACTAGATTGCAGCAGGAAGTCCTAGAAGGGGAACAAAATTGTTTATAGAAATATACTTAACAAAGGGCAGAGTATAACAAATATCTTGAGATATTTGTATTTTTAGTTTTAATTAAGTCTGACATGAAAGAGAAGACCACTGTATTATTCGTAACAGCCAAACATAATGTCTTTCAATAAGTAATGTCAAGAAAACCAACAAAAAAACTGTAGTGCATCCACGTACTACAGTGAACAATAAAAAGGAGTGAACTACTGACATTTGGAAAAATTTGGCCAGATCTCAAGAAAATTATGCTGATTTAAACCAGCCAATTTCAAAAGGTAATGTTTTATGTTTCCACTTACATAACATTTTTGAAATGACAAAATTATAGATATGAAGAAGAGATTACGGATGGCCAAAAGTCAGAGGGGTGGGGCTGGAGCAAGGTGGCTGGGGGTTTTAAAAAGTAGCATGATGAATCCCTGGTGGTAACAAGAGAATCTACATGCTACTGAATAGCACAGAACTAAATACACACACATACACTACTGAATTCATGTAAAATTGGTTGAATCTGAGTATGGCTGGTAGACTGCAACAATATTAATTTCTTGGTTGTGAAAATGTACTATAATAATACAAGGTGCTATCACTGGGGAAAAATGAGTAAAGGGTACATGGATTTCTTTGTACTATTTCTTAAATCTACAGGTAAATCTGTAATTGGCTTGATTTTTTTTTTTAAAAAAAGGGAAAACTATTACTTGCCTTAGATTTATAGAAAACAGTTAAAATACAAACCATAACAATAAAGGGAAAATTTATCTTTTAAAAAAAAAAGGTTTAGAGAAAAAACTGATGTGATCTTTTGGTTCTTTTAAATAAATCCTTTCCATCTGTCAAATTCCTATCCTAAAAAAGCTTCTTTTTCTTAGGTAACGATGACAAACTTATGAGACCTGAAAAGTACTCAGTAAAACATCAAATCGTCCTTGCAGAATTAAGAACTTGTGCATCATCAGTTTTTCTTCTCTTACTCCCTTCCCAAATATGGGAAAATTCACTTATTCACAGATTTTCTAGTTTTAAATTCAGGCTGACTTTTAAAACTCAGGTCTGCTTTTAGAAGTGAAATGTGTAGCCAAAGATGAAATGGATTCTTGCCATGACCATCTTAAGAAGAGAAACAATGAGATAGAAAATCCATATAAACTTCAAAAGAAAATTCTTGGGAAATATGGAAAGACTACTCTTTTATCTTGTAAGCATTCAACACCTGTGAAGCATTTGTTCTGTCACGCAGATCAGTCCTGAAACAGGTTTATGTGTGTGCCAGTGTGTGTGTTTAAATTTTAGCATTTGCTATTCGTCAAGTCAATTAGGCATCTACAATTAGAACCCCTATAAAGTGTGCTTTAATCCTGCTCCACACCCATCGGAAGGAATGAGGCTATACAACAATACGGCTCCTGTATGAACAGGTAGTCTGTTCAACAAAGTATTTGGGACTGTAACACTGGCAACCTGAGACACCTATTGAGGAAACTGCTCAAAAGACCAAGCACCACACTACAATTAACCCTACACCTATTCTTATATGAATTTTGGAGGAAATGAAATAATTAAGGTCATGTACATGTAGTTATCAGCAAACAAGAAATGAGACAAGAGCTCAATTTGCTACACACAAACAAAAATCACTGTTACATTGTTTTAGTTCTCTACCCAGAACAAACCATATATGGTTCATGCACTTTCACTTTGAGTTTCTTTTGGTTTTGAATTATAAATGATAAAACTATTATCACCTTTCTGTACAAATAGTAGTTTTATATATAGATCAAATAATTTAACTTCTACCAAAAATACTATTACTAACATTTTTATAATTGTCTAATTATTTCAATTCCAAAATGGAATCTCCTTATCTTTATGAAATCTGCCATATTTAAGGTGTGCTAATATTGCTTAATATTTAATTATCAAAAAGTGGGTAAAATAATATTTGTGGGTTTCACTGAATTTACAGATGTGAATGCAAATTAAAAAATAAGAGATGTGAGAGTAACAGAGTATTCTTAACAAATAGGACACACTGATGATATAAAGCCAACTTACATACAATTCATTTCATTATTAATTTATGTAATCTTCTTTTGGAATTCTGATGAAACATGAAATAAATGAAGCAATCCAAAAATAAACTAAAAAATATGTACCCTGTTACATTACAACTGCCATACCATTTCTTCAAAGGGTTCTAATTCTGCCCCCTAAAACCTGCCTCATTTTCTGTGAAAGTGATTACCATACATTATCCAGATGTTGATGGCAGAACCAGGAGTGGATGAGACAGCTAATTAAAATAGTGGTGTTTTTAAAAAATACTCTAAATTCTGTTTTATTGCCTGTGCTTTTAACAGTAAACCTGATACTGAAGAAACTTGAAAGGGGAAAAAAAAATGTATACCCAAAAATACAACTGAGACTTTTAAAGAATTCTGAAATTTCTATTAAATCCTATTAAAAAAAGATAAATCCTATTAAAAAATGTTAATTCTGAATTCAAAGCATAAAAAGACTGTATGCTAATAGCATTTGTCATAAAAGGAACACAAGATACTAGAATGAACAATCATGAAAGGATACCATTATCCTAAAGATAAAAGACATAAAAAGTTAGTTACAACTGTCTCCAGAATTTTTATCCCTAGATGATTTGGTTTGTATAATGCTGTTCACAGAATATGGGGGATTTTGTATATTCTTCCCATGGTTTTAAAAGAAATGCATGTAGCTTACATGATTAGTACACATACTGTCTTGTATATGGCATATTTTTGCTACCATTTATTATGTTTTGGATAAATGAGGCACCACCCCAAAGGCCAACAACCCCCAAAACTCTACACGTAGCAGGGTATTCAGATGCACGTAAGTTCCTATAGGTAGATTTCCTTGGCTATATAAATAAAAATTATGTATCTCAGGTACTACCATTCATAACATTTCTCCTTTGTCTTTACTGACATGAAGCTTTAAAAGTAATGAGTCAATTTTGATCCCTATATATTTACTTCAAAACCTGCAATGTCCAGACAAGTCTATGTTTGATGTCTTGCAAATAGCCTCTTATACTGGTTTTTCTAAGTGGATCCCCCACCTTCTTTAAAAAAAGCTAAGTACCTTCAGGCATGTCTTTGATGTTATCACATAGTCAGAGGATCTAATTTATATGAAACTATGTGGAACACATTGACAATGGATTAGTACTAAAAAAAATTTTTAAAAAGTCCTTCATATTGCAAATTTGCAGTGGTCCAAACCAAAGTAGTTTTAAATGACATAACCATTTTTTAAAAAATAGCAATTATTCATTTAATACCTTCAAGAATCCCTAAGTGATTTGAAACTGGGGAAACTGGCCTTATCAATGTATTATACCAAAGATTACCTTCTCTTATGCGTTCACATATATTCAATAACTACCATTCATAAAACATGGATATTAACCCTAAACACCAACAACTGCTTGTATTCTTCTCATGGTTTTTAAGAGTACACAAACTAACTTTCCTGGAAATATGATGACTGTTGAGCACAGCCACAAGGAGTATACAAATTAAAAGAATCATAAATTATTTAACATTTGTGAGTTAGACTATGTAATATTTGTCAGATTCTATAATTTGATGATTGTGGCTTAATGCACTTATTATAAAGTATATTCTGTATTCCTGATGTTTCCTCATCATAAAATAGCAGTCTCTTAAAAGACTGTACAACACTAAAGTACATGAGGAAAAATCCAACAAATATTTTGTTCCCATTAAATTTAAAGCTGAAAAATAAAATGGGTTTAGTTTTAAACAGGAATGTTAGTCAGCTTTTCATTATTATAACAAAATGCCTTAAATACTCAACTTTTAAAGAGAAAAGGTTGATTCGGGCTCACAGTTTTGAAGGTTCCATTCCAAGATCAAGTGGACTCATTGCTTTGTACCTCTGGTGAGCATGCCATCAATGGCAGGGAGCGCATGGCCACAGAGCAAAAGTAAAGCAGGAAGGGGCCAGGGTTCCACAATCCCCTTCAAGACAATGTCCTCAATGGCCTAAGGATAGTAAGACCCACCTCCTAAAGGTTCCACCACTTCAGAATAGTATCGCCTTGGGGACTGAACCTTTAACACATGGACCTTTGGGTAACACATATCCAAACTACAGCAATGGATATGTGTAAAAAAGAGATAATTATGTTTAATATAAAAAAGCACAGTTTAGATAATGAACCATATGAAAAATAAGCCAGATACAAAACGGTATATACAATGACCTCAACAATATAAAAATCTATTGCATTTTAGGAAAAAAGAGGGTTAGTGGTACAGGTTGGTGGTATGTGCAAGGACCTGGGTTTAATCCTAACACTGCAAAAGAACAGAAAATCTAAGAAAGAAAAAACCAAAAAGTACAAATGTTATATTTGTAGAGTGGTGATTTATTTTTCCTTTCCCAACTCTGTAGAATAGTACCTAAAAATTTTTAAAAACTAAAGTAAATGAGTAGTAAAATATTCCCAAGTTTAGACACAAAGTTTAATAATTTTT